ACTCAATCACTCAGTGCGCGTCCCTGACGGAGGGACGGACGGTGTTTCGTCGAGCGCGAAAGTCATCGATAGCGCTATGGAGAGCCTTCCTGTAGAGTTGGCGACCGCAAAATCTATCCCAGCATCTTTCCAGCGGGAAATAATGTTTTGACGGAAACATAGAAAAAGCACTCCGTCTCTGTGAACGTGCGGACTCCCTCGTGGGTCGAGAATCGTCTTCCAATAAGCGCGATTGCATCATACTGGAACGCATTAGCTCCTCGCAGCATGTTCGGAGCTATGCTCTGTGAGGAATCAAATATCGTCGTCGCATCAAACGATCCCTTCGACGACGAACCATGACGTAGTAGAAATCCTCCCTCCAAATCATCGATGGTCACTCGATCCTGTTCCTTCCGAGTATCTTTGGGACCGGGAGAAGAGTCGCGGTCATGAGCCACCGAAAGGAATGCTTCCCCATCCTTGGGAACAAGATGAGCAGGGGAGCTCCCGGCCCTCGGTACTCGGCGATTGCGGACTCGGGTCTCGGCAACTGAGGGTCGTCCCGAGCGTGGCCGGGCACGCAATCGCCCGTCGATGGGCGCGCATGTCTGCGATCCTAGGATCGAGCTCACTCAGTCACGGTTTCATCGCATCTGACGATTGAACCTACCGGACATTGTTGAGCAGTCAGTCAGTCGGCGAGTCACTCAGTCGGTTGGATAATTACCGTCTGTCTCTCAATCGGGTGATCCATCCCTGGAATGAGCGGTCTATCTCTGCTGAAAGCATCCTTGCAAGGCTACGATGGCTACACGCCGCCATCCCCAATTGTTTGATTTAGGCCGAGCAGCCCGTACGGCATCGGGTAAAAAACCACAATGACCTAGGTATCTGTCGTTTGAGTCATCGAAGAAAATATCCGGAAGATTGTGCTCGCTGATTCCGTCGTTGCGCGGGGAGCTTAAGCGGTGATACTAGCCACGGGCTCCGGAAGCCATCGGATGTCTGGCTCTCCTTATCCCGCATCCGTGTGCATAGTTGAACTCCATGAACGGAAAGCTCATTGGAAGGCTCATCTATGGCTTTCGATCGATTAATGCTTTGGGTTCGTGGGACTGATCGTCGAGCGACGAGCTGCTGGGAGAACATTGTTCCCCGAGGTGTTCCCCGGAGCTCGTCATAGATCTCCTCCGATAACAATCATGGGATATTCGATGAGCCGAGTTGCTCCGATTCATTCGACATGCCTGACGATAATTTGACGATCTTTAACAAAGTTATCAGAATTCTCCTCCTGACGAAACCCGAGCCTGGAACCCTATGCCAGCCAGCATCCTCACCCTGAAAGGACTTCCGTTTTACGGTTCACTTGCGGATTCACTTTCTGAGGTTTCGATCGATACCGAAATTCGGCCTGGTTGAGCTCCGCGTGTAGACTAAAAATTAAATGATCGTGTCTAGAAGAGGAGCGTCTCCTCGCGGGTTACCGTTGTCACCTGCCAGCTGGAATGCTACATCGAAACGAGCCTGATGGCGCTGTATCACCACCGCAGTAATCATCAGTGACGTCGTCGTTGCTGTCGATGCCGCCGACGCTGCTCTCCTCAACGAGAGTGGGAGAATGGATGACAGAAGAAATACCCTAAGGAACGAATGATTTCAAGTGCCACGCCGACTTAATCAGGTATTCTGTCAGCTCGCCTGACAATGATCGCCTGACCAATGAAATCTGAACGACATGGCGCTCCGTTCGCGGTGATCGTGGCCAAGTTAGTAGTAGGAGCCCGCTAGCGCTGTCAGCCAGGCAGGCGGCGGGCCGAGCGGCCGGTTGCCAGGCAGGCGAATAGCCTCGCGAGAAGGTAGCGAGCAGCCAACCCCCGGTCATTGGCCTGGCCTACATTCTGAGCGAGTGAGAGCAACAGTCTGAATTTCCTCTTGTGAGCGCTATGCAAGCACGCAGCCCTGAAAGATAGGGCAGCAGGCCGGCTTGGCCGGAAGGCGCTCACGGAACCGGTCACGCATGAAATATACATATGCATGCTTGTATACTTATTCTACATGCATCGTTCAGTTGTCGGCGGGAGCCACCGTCGACGAGCAAAAAAAAACTTGCTTCAAGACCTCTCGAGTCGGTACGTTCAGGTCGCCCTTGAGGGCGCAGAAGACTTCTGCGTCTTCTATCCTGAGACTTCTTCGACACCGCGGAAAATCTCTTCGACTTCTTCCCTGTAGGGCGTGTCGGAATTTCGGGACTAGAGTACAGAACGGACCAATCGATTGGATCTGTGAGCAGCGGAAACCCAACAATTGTCTTCGATTCCCCGAAGGAGTCAGCGGATTATTAGTTGCGTTCTCCTCTTCATTTCTGAATGAATTCGTGGTCAGACTGCGAGGAAACTTGGAATGGTAGTATCTGCGTGAATCTAAGCGTGAATCTAAGCGTGAATCTAAGCATGAATCCTTGCGTGCTCAGTGACTGCCGAGCTCACAGATGGCGGTAAATAGTTGATCGCTTGACTCGCGAATGGCTGTAGCCGCCGCAGCGGCGGTTACACTCTCGAGTCACGGTCTCGACGTCGTCGGTGTCGATGATTATTGTGCGTTGCCTCCAACGGAACCAGAAGATGGCTGCTCTTGAGCACTTTTCCTTCTCTCCGACAGTTGTGTTATTTCCTCGACGACCTAGCTGACGGTAGGGCGGCGAAAATGGATCCGATCGTATGATGCTACTAAGGTCTGATAGAATGGATGGATAGATGAAATTTGCCCGATAGCCGTTCCGAGCGCAGGGAGCAGCAGCCAGCGACAACGAAGACCACTTTCCCCTACGTTTGCCGTCGCTGCTCCCGAGGCCGCCGCCGCGGCGGCCGTATTCCTGTGGCAGATAACCGCTGAGAAACTGCGGCGCTGTGAGCGATCCGCCAGAGGGCGCCAGTGTGCGGAGCACCACCGGCGCGGCGTCTCCCCTTCTCGCGGTCGCTCGTCGTCCAGGCTCTCTCACGCGCAGCCGCCGAGGCCGCCGCTGAGCCACCAATGTGGACAAGGCTCTCGCTGTTGGAAAGCCGCTGCGGCCGCAACTTCTGCCGCCGTCGCTAGTTCGCCGGTGCTCGCTCGCTTGTTGCCGGCCGGCCGGCTCGCTAGCTGCTAGCTCAGAACATCTCAAGCAGTGGAGGACTGCGAATCATACGGACAAGGCTGTAGACTATCGTTGTCGTCGCTGTGGTAGCGTTGTCGTTACACTGACGCTACTATCTGACGGCTTCTGGATAGCCTCCATGACTCCAGTCGATCGATTGACGAAGTGACCAAGCGAAACTCGGAGCCGGAATTAGTGCGAATCTCTGGGCCTGGATGCCTTTCTGTCTGTCTGCCTGCCAGTCAGCCAGCAGCCAACCAGGCAACCGGCCCCCGGCACCGTCGACGCCAGCGTAGTGACCGACTCCGGAGGGCTTTCAAGGTTTCGTGGAGCTGCAACAAATGAGTGGAAAGCCGTGTTCCAGCTGATGTTATCGACTGTTTTGTTGCGATTGCCATCATTGTTGCTGATGTTGTTCCGATTGTTGTTGCTGTCGTTTCCGTCGTTGTCGTCTATGACGGAATCTTCGATGAAATGCTGTGTTGCGAGCGTCCTCCACTGAGTGAATGTGCCATAGAGTTCCGGGGTGAGCAGGGGTAAAGCCAGCGAGCAAGAATTCATGACTCCCGATGCTCCTCGGGAGACTGCGACAGGAAGTCGAATACGGGAACCGGGCGGAACACGATTGACATCGCGCTCCTCGTCATATGCTGTGAAGTCTGCTCGGAGCCACAGTAGTCGGTGAATCGATCAGGAATAGGAACAAGAAACAATTGCTCCAGAAGACGCACTGGGAGCAGAGATCGAGAGGCTTGCAGACTTGTGCTCACATCCCTCGAGATCGGTGTGATCGGATCGATCGGCGAGGTCCATGGTGTCGTCTTTCAATCCTCCGATGATTCCGACTAAAGGATACCTATGAGTGAGAAGTTTTTGGTGATCGTCATCATCGGCAGATACAGCACTCCCCTTCTGGCTGGACGGAACCAGCTATCAAGGAGCTGTGCTTATTCGGCCTCAGCAAATTGTGCAACCGGTACTTTAACCGACCTGCCCTGGTCGGAGTGAGCCTCAAGCGAACATCGAATTAAAGAAAATGGATCGATGATTTCCAAGGTAAGCCAGGCTCGTTGAAAATCGGGAATCGGCTGAGAGTCGCGCTCACTCGGTCTGATGTTCGGATGAGCCCCGAGAGCGAGAGGAACGGGCTGGATGTAGGGAACGTTCCCTTCTCCCAAGCGAAGTTACCGACGAGGTGACTGCAACAGGATGTGATCGAATGCAAAGCCTCAAAATCAGGCTGCAGGTCGATTGGTTCATATCCTACGGCCACTAGACGCGTCTAGAGTTATGTTGGAGTCGTCGGACCGAGTCGCACGCGCAAGGTTGGGAGAGAGTTCCGTCTTTGGTGACTCTTGATAAACTTTGCTATTCCTCTCTTTGAAAGTAAGCATCCGGCAGCTCTATTTGGACGAAGAACGTCGTCGAAGATCTCTGATGAAGGTTTTTCCTTGGCCGGTCTGCTCGTACAATATGTGGACTCGAACTCTGCGGCTCCTCGTCGAGGACTAGAGCGCGGGCTTCCCTTGTGACCGCCGGAGTGTCCCTCGAAGAGTACTTCGAAAATTCTGCGGATGAAAAAAAATCCTCGGGATAGCTCGAGTTGAGACTGAATCGTGTGGGCTCCTCGATCGGAATCGGATGATCGAGCCTTGTGGATTCCCATATGCAACTGCTGTACGTCCTGCGTCAATTCTGTACATATGTAGTCGGATCGACCTTCATTGCGTGCTCCCATGAAAGGTTGGGTGATTCGTGGAGAATTGACTAGATGGTTCTCTGGTCGATGGTGGCTATTGCTCTACGGAATCATGTTTTTTTTTCACTACGGCGGACGCGAAAGCTCGGCATGGCTTCCTTCTTTCGTCATCTCGGGTCGCCACCGCTAGCCGCTGTGTTTAACCTTGAGCAACAAGAGCTGCTGCTTTGGGCGAGTGAGTGAGCAAGCGAGCGAGCCGGCCAGGCAGCAACCACTCGCGGCCGATGTCGTCGAGACTTACCACAGAGCAACGCCAGCCCGCTCGCAAGCTACCACCGTCACCGAAAGCAGCAGCACCACGACGAAGTGAGCGACTATTCACGGAGCGAGTCTAGAGGACATCGCCAGGATTCGCCGGAGCGAAACTCGAGCGGACGAGGGGTTTCCGGAGGGAACAGGATTCGCTCCCTCGCGAGAGATTCTTCTCTCTCTAGGAACTTCGCCTCCGCTCCGGTGCGAATCCTCGGAGTCCTGGACCCAATCTGAGCCCGCTGCGGGTTCTGGTTCCCTGAGGTTGTCCTGTTTCCTCGGACGGGTCTATTAGGGAGCTTGACGGAATCCGTAGGATCGGAGGGTGAAGGGGAAGTTCTCACGAACGACGCTGAAAGAAAAATATTCCTTCCGAATGGAAGACGTGCATCGTGATAGCACATACGATTCTCGACCTCTGCTCGGAGCGTATTCGGCGATCTACTCAGTACGTCATCCACCGCGGTGGGGGCGGTCGGAGACCTTTCCAAACCCAGCGCGAATTATTATTCGACCTCAGATGATTCTCTGCGCGAAGTACAATTCTCCTACCGAAAGCATTGAGACGATTCGTCATATGGTGTGAAGGCGCTCCTCGAGTAGCTCCGATTGGAAGCGGCGAAACGACTCAACTGCCTAATGAGCGGATTTCGAACAGCGCTCGATCTAGGATGATCCAAAGATAACGATACCATAGGAAGATGGACAGGGGGAGCTATCGTTGGCGGAAGCTTTCTAGATCCTCGGTCGCCAAACTCGAACATCCGAAAGCATTTATTTACTGTCCGTGGTGTTCTCTGGCTTGTCAACGTTGAGTAGTCACACTGTTAGAATTTATAATTGTAGTTCCCGTCACGAAACCAGCGCAAGGGCCTCAAAGAGAAATCTCAATGTTACAGCCGGTGTATGAGTGGACGACCCGCAACGTGCTGGAGTGGATGGCCTCCGTGAACATGATCTCGTACAGTGGACCCTTCGAGTCCACCGCCATTCAAGGCAGCGACCTTCCGGCGCTGGACAAGCACAAACTGGCTGGCATGGGCATCAAAGAAGACTATCCACAGCAAACGATCTTAGTCTGCATCTCAGAACTGTGCAGAAATCGAGGCATTGTAAGTAACGCAGTATATGAGGGATGGAACTTCCTCGAAGTTTCTTTCGTCTTTCCCCGAATCGCGAACGCCCGTGGAGAGACGATTTTTCGAATCGCCCACGTGGGAAATTCATTCTGCCCCTAATCTTCATGGGTTTCTGGCATCCAGCTCCCTCTGACTAAACAGATCAGATCATGTTGGCGAGGGTCGAGTTATTAGCGGCACCCTGCACAGTCCTTTTCGCGGCTCTGATGGCACAGAGGTCCCGATGATCTCGTAATTGACAGTGATAGAGGAGACATCGAATCTGGTCTGAATTTCGTTACGCGCTCCTGCTAAGTTTTCCAGAATCCTGATTCATTTGCGATGTTTGTTTTCTCTGTCTCTGGATCCCCTACGCGTTTCGTTTCTATGATCGAGGGCGAATTACTTCATATTCGGGGTTTCCGGTGATGAAATGATCTCTCGCGATCGAGTGCGTGCTGTTCTGGCGAAATTTCGCTTAACCGTGGTGCCGGGGGATCGTTCGGGTGCGTGAGTTCAACTACTATGAATACCAATGTCTTTCTTCTTGGCAGAACCTGCCCTCGGAGGAGGATGCGTCTCTGGCCGATGTGACTGCGCTGCGGGACGACAAACACGTATCTTCAGCGGAGTTCCAAAGCACGAACTGCCGTGGCGATATCGAAAGCCATCATGGTAGCACAAGTTCGAGCACGATCAGCTCACGAGTGTCCTCACCAGGCATCGTCGCTGCCGCAGAGGATCAACATCAGTCAAGGCAGTCTACACATCAGCTGTATCTCGTTGCCTTCCGATCAGCCGCCGATAAATGCGAGCAGTGTCAGATGTCACTCTCTGGAAGACAAGGTGCGTGTTGACGCGTTCGTGCGACCTTGCTGACCGCCCGCCTGTTCCTCCGTTCGTCTCGGAGATTGCCCGTCCCATGTGGGCCACTGCTGCTTCCCGTCCGATCTTACTCCCCCTGGATCGCGGCATTCGTCCCGGTCAGCGAGCGTAGCCAACGGTCACGCCTGTGTTGTTCATGAATTCATTCCGCGTGCCGAGAAGGGGCACGAACGAGGAAAATACCTACTTCGTCCTCCTTGAGTTGTGCTTGCATCCTCGGGGGGAATTTTTCGGCGCTTTAGGCTCAATCCCCGGAACACCCGCTCGTCTCGGGGCGTATTCCGCCACAATGAGAGATTATCCTGAGCATCATCGGGGGAGGCACACGAGGGAATATGTTCCAAAGATGATTATCCCTCGAGGATCTTCGACTAATCTCAATTCTGTTCTTCCGCACAGTTCTCCTGTGTCGAGCTTGCGGAGCGGTCAGCCACCACGAGTGTTCGTCGACCGAGCTGCCCCCTTGTTCTCCTGGCAGGATCCCTCCAGAGTCTCTCCATCGCCGTCTCGTGGCTGTCTCAGAATCGCCAGAATCCATCGAGCTATCGGAGCAATTCAGTGCGGATGAACAAGCTGCCCCGAATTGCGTTCTAAATTGCATCGAGAACATCGAGCTGTTGGCACATCGGAATCCTTCGATTGATCTTTACGCCGTCTACGGATCGCATATCGCGCCGTCCGACGTCAACGATCTCGTCCGAAAATTATCACAGGGTGAGTAATTCTCGACGGACAGGCTAGCTGAACAGCTAGCCAGCTAGCTTTCCCTGGCGAATGTGGTCTGCCACCGCAACTGATTTCGACTGACTGACTGAGCGTGAGACCGCTCGCCCGTCCACCGGCCCGCCTGTCAATTGACTTGCTTACCAAGGTGGTCGACCAAATCTCACAGCCCGTCGGAGAGATGGAGCATCGTTCGGACCGCTATTCGAGTCCAATGACTCATCGGAAAATGGAATTTCTCCGCAGCACACAAGGACATAGTTTTGCGGGGAAGCTATCATCGTCGCGCCCGGAATAGACTCACCATCTGTGATCGGCGTCAAAGAGCTCCCTGAAAAATGAATGAACTCGTAAAAAAGTGGATCATTAATTCGACGAATACTGCTCCCGGCATCATCTCTTTTTTTTTCGAGCTAGCGTGCGATCGAGTGGTGATCTACACGGAAACGACGGAATGATGTCCCTTTTTTTGGTACCGCGTACACGACCTGGAGATGTTCTAATGTCCCCTTCTCTCCCTTTGTTTCCAGACCTCAGCAACACGGCGAAACAATCTGAGCTTTCTGGTTACCCTGCTGAAAGCTTCGCGGCCGCTCTGAAACACTACATTTCGAAACTCAGTTCTCCATTAATACCTTTCAACTTTTATGACCGTTTCCTCGAAGTTGCCGGTAAGATATATGCCAAAAAAGCCATGAGACATGAAGCGACGCGGAAAATCGCTTCCGTGAAAATCCTTCAGGTCATTACCGGCTAGCAGTCTCCCGGGAGCACTCGCTGATCACGACCTCTCATACAACAGAATAATTGCAGGGGAGAAAAACGACGAAAACTGCGCCATCCGTCTCCGACAACTGGTTCATCAATTACCCGCGACTCACGCGTCAACATTGCGAGCTTTGTTGTCGCACCTTTGTCGTGTGTGTAAACTACAATTCGACCGAGGACAGACCCAACCCCCATTCGATCTTGTGAACGCCTTCTGTTACCTCATTCTGAGACCGAAGTTCGAGGACATCGTCTCGATCATAGGCAACACACCATTGCACGTCCGCATCTGTAGTCTACTCCTCTCTCGTGGCGAGTGGGGCGAAGCTTTACCCAATTTCGTTGTTCCATCCTTGCCTCCGGTCGTTCCTCCGCGAAAAATGTCGGCACAACCGCAAACGCTCCCGGCGTCAGCCTCGACTCAGAGCAGCGCAGTAGCGAGCAGGGCAATGGCAACGGCAACGACGACGACTTCCACCACCACCACCAGCCCCAATGAGAGCGGCTTATCCGGCGCCGAATGGTATTGGGGCGAGATCAGCCGGGAAGAGTGCAATGAAAAGCTGAAAGACACCCCCGACGGAACGTTCATGGTCCGAGACGCAACGTCGAAAACAAGCGGCGACTTCACCTTGACGCTTCGCCAAGGTGGCTGCAACAAACTCATCAAGATCATCCATCGAGATGGCTACTACGGTTTCACGGATCCTCTCACGTTCAAGTCTGTCGTTGATCTCGTTCAACATTTCCGAACTAACTCGCTGGCGCAATACAATCCCTTGCTGAACGTTCGGCTGCTCTATCCTGTGTCCCGCTTCCACGACGATGAGTCACGGCGAATCGATTCCGGTACCTTCCGGCAGATGCTGATGAAGAGCAACCGGGAATTCTTGTCGTTTTCCCGAGAGCTCGATCGTCTTCACGACAGATACAGTCAGCTGAGGCAGGAAGTAGATCTCAAGAATCACGCTCAGAAGTCTTTTGAGCAAGCAACCGACATGTACGAATTGCAGACGAGGGCTGCCAGGGAAGCTCTTCTGAAGTATCCGCAGTACCGACTAGCCCTCGAAGACAATCTCAAAACACTGAAACAGCGCAGAGACATGCTGGAACACGAGCACGCTTGCGTGAAAACCCAGATCGAGAAACATCTCGGCCTCCAGCGAGAACTTGAAACTACAATGAACACTCTCAAAGTGGAAATCGCCCAACGAAGTAAGCAACGAAACTTCTGTCAGATGAGCCTCATACGGCACGGTATTAGCAAAGATGAGATCAACAAATTGCTCCAAGAATCCTCGCAATTGGATGAACAGAAGGACAAGGATCCCTCTTGCCTCTGGACAACCACAGCTTCGACCGGTGAGCGCTCATTCTTCTGCCTTATCTCACCTGAGCGACTATTATTAGCAGAGTTACTGAATTTCGGACATCCCTTATTTGTCGTGAATGCGAACACCGGCAACCACCTCTACGAGTGAATCGCCTCCGACTATTTCTTTCCGCCATCGTAGTGCGTAGAAAGGCTAAAATGAGGATAATGCTATCTTATCGGTCCTTATTCGACCTTCGGGAAACTTGAATTTCCGGGTTCGAAACACTCTAATCATCATCAATACCCTCTCATTTTCATTATCATTGTTTCCCAGCGAGATAATCGTCGATTCGAATGGGGAGACAGAAAGACATGTGAAAATTGTTCCTGTCGCAGGTAACTACTACACGATGACGAACCCGACGGCTCGCGACGACTCCAGTCTGCCCCACAACAATGAGGGCACCTGGCTCGTGAGTGAATGCACCCGTCTCCAAGCCGAGCAAATGTTAGAGGGGAAGCAGCACGGAACGTTCCTGATCAGAAAATCCAAAACTGGACAATTCGCTCTATCGCTCTCGTAAGTTTCGAGCTTCTGCTCTCCTGCATGAAGGGCCCTCCCGAACTGAAACTTCGAGACAGCCGTCGTCGTGCCACCGACCCAGGCGTCGTACGCGAAAATCTGATCCTGTAGTCCTTTCCATTGAACGACGCGTCCGATCGCCCTTGCCTCACCCTATTTTTTCCTCTCGTTGCAGTGTTATGGGCAAAGTCGAACATTGCTTGATTTTCCAAACGAGCCACGGCTATGGCTTCGCGGAGAATCAGGCCTTATTTCCCACTCTGAAGAGCCTTGTGCTACACTATAACAGAGTTTCACTGGAGGAACACAATTCAGCTTTGCGCAATACCACCCTGGCCGTTCCTGTATACGCCGCTGGCCAGCCTTCAGCGCAACAACAAAAAACGGAACCCTAGGTGCATCTCATCGACCCTGTTTGTCCTCTGTTCCTTCGTTATCGCCAACTTCCAACGTTGACGAGGCACGCAGCAGACAATGCCCGTCAAGTTGATTCACGCGAATCCGAGAGGTCCGGATACTACTGGCCATCGATCGACCGCCGAGGGTCGGCCCAAGAAGGAATTTTGATCTCAAGCAGCCCTCATCGATTGCGTTAGGATTGATGAAAGGGGGGGGGGGAGGCATCCATCGAGGACCGCTCAAGCAGCGAGCAAGCGAAGACGACCAGTGCTACGGAATGAACCCCCGATCGTCACTCTTTCGAGATCGCACACGAAACGGCATGCATGCGAAGCATCCATGCATCCATCCATCCACCTGTCCAATCCATTCATCGACGATTATCCACGTCGTCGCAACTCACTCGACATGTGTGTCGTGTTGGAAATCGAAGAAAAACTCTAAATTTAGGTTATCCCAATTCTTTGAGTCTGGGGTCGGCGGGGATATCTCTGACTGACTGTCCGGAGCTTGGCCCCGCCCCGATCCGGGAGCAGACACAATTATTGATGGGCATCCATGAGCAACGGCGACGTCCTAGCCACAAGAGATGCGAACAGTGTTTGCACCTTCTCGCAGTGGGCTCCATTAGTCTCAGGATTCAGTCAAATATTCGACTCTGTGTGCTCTGCAAGTCCTCAGAGATCCCTTGCTTTGCCCTTAAACGCGAAAGCCTCCGGCATCGGAATTCGGGGGGATCTCATTTCAAGCAGACTTCTGGAGTTAATTCGACCCCGACTGTGAAGCTCCGAATCACGTATCCACAGAGTCCGAGAAGTCGACCGCAGGTCGCCAAGATTTTTGGATATCGAAATATTTCTTCTAGATCCATCAATCAATTGAAGGAGTTTTCCGACGTATGTAGGCGCCCCCATGGAATCGAACGCAGCATACCTAGCTACGATCGATTGGAGGAATTCGATGATTTCGAGGGAGCAGTAAGTGAACTTGATGAAATTCGCCCTTAAGTCCGATGGGCATGAAGTCTGCTCACGAGGATGGGAAATCCTCGGGATCGCGCACTCGTTCCGGTCGAGCGGGTTCTTTGTATAGAGGATCGAGTGGAAAATCTCGCCGACAAAGTCGGAAGAATTTTCCCCCGGTCTGACGATTGTAAACAAGACGGATAAAACGATAGTTATGTGAGGAGTCGAATACCGAAGAAAACAGTGTATATTGGAATTCCGTCTTTCTCGTTTAGTTGTAACGCGGATCAGAGCGTACGGAGCTTTCATGCAGCTACGCCCTCCGACGCACGTTTGAAAACCGACAATAGCTACCGCAATGGCTGTGATCCCCACCTCATCAAAGGGAAGAACGTGAATACAAGAACTGAGCAAACTATGACAGGTAGTATTTGCCGTTAGCTAAGCAAACATAAAACACTTGACACTTTAGTTGGCACAATGACCATCTATAGACCGCTCACTTGCAACGATCGGGTAGGTCTCATCAAGATTCGGCCGAAGCCAGAGGGAAACAAATCTCCACTCGAACGAGACAAGAGAACAAACCTTTATCACGTATGGATGTGCGTTTTTCGGTGAAGTACGATCGTCTGTCCGTCCGTCCGTCCATCCGTCCGTGTGTTCCTGGACGAATGCGATGGAGTGCCCTTTGACTTTCTCCCAAATTGGTTTCGATGACCCATTGGTTGATTGATTGATTGATTGACCGCTCATTGCGAACCCGTACGATCGGTCTTTCTGTCGGAAATCTAATCAATGATTCGATCGTAGGATCAGAATATGTGTATTGCCGCATCAACGATGAGAATACGATAATCTTTGACGGTGTGATGGAGATAAGATGAATCACTAATGCATAAACACGCGGATATAAATACATATATATATATACATATATACATACATATACATAAGTAGCCGAACACAAAGAAGAGTGAAAGGGTGTGAGGTGTGATTGAAGCGCGTTGTTGATCGCTTAGGAGGAAGACAACAAGGGAGAAGATTACCATGAGATGATAAAGAGCTTTGGAAGGAGTTGGATAAGAGCGTGATAAGCAATTACAGAATGCATTGAAATCTCCGAAATCGTGGCTTGATGTGACGGTAGCGACTTATTGTACTCATGCATAGACAGTCCCCAGGGTGAGTTCACAGTCTATGTCACCATTCGATGCCTACACTGCGATGACGATGAAAGCGTATCGGGAGTATTCTACGAACATTATCGGAATTGATGAGTGTCCTGAAACTCGGATGACTAGTTTACTGAGCGCAAAAATGAATACGGAGAGCAGGATAATGGTGGTGATGACAATAATTCTTGGATATTGAGATCGGGCGAGTTGATGCTGGAAGTATGGAGCTGCAATCCGAATGACATTCGTTGCCTCGTTCGAGGGGCCAGGTCCCATCTCGAGGAGCGGTTAGCGCCTCGTACACGATGATGTCGACCTCTACGTTTTCCTCTCATCGTGTTGTTGTCGGTCTCGGTATCGATGCTCGAGGCAATCAATCCTTGATGGTCCCTGCAGAAACCTCGAAGGAAGTCAGCGTTCCATCAATCCTTCTTGGAGCATCATGCCTCGATCCGATGGCGATCATGTGGCCGAGAACGAAACGGATCTTACGGGATGTCTTGAATGGAGAATCTTTGGATTTTCCGTCATTCGGTATTCCCGGGGCCTGGAAGCAGGAAAGTGTTCTTGGAACTCGTCTGAACGGTATCCTGAATATTGAAAGAGCACTCAAGAACCTGAAAAAGGATTTGGAGCGAAGCTCGCACTCCGGGCTCGGAGCGACGTAGAAGCAGGCGATCAATCAAGAGAAGGATTTTGACATGCGTGTGGATTAATTATTGTAGAATTGCAAAATTTAGAAATATTCCAATTGATGAAGACGACGTCGATGATGGAGATCATGATTGCATTTTCTGGCAACGATTTCGATACGAAGTGAGACGATCAACGGCATCGGGAGACGCGTCAAGAATTCCTAGATCCAAATTTTGCAAGTGCCCCGCGAGGAGCAATGGAGACGATCGAGAGACGATTCGGAGGACCATCATGAGCTTTTTCTCGATGACCGTTGGGAATTTTTAACACTGATATTCTCATCCTGGTGACAAAAGCACGGTTACGTATTTCTTTTACGATACACTTATTATCATAATTTAGAATTCCTATTTCGATTACACTCACGAACGCGGGAAAGATAATAACGATACTGGTGAATGAAGGCGATGATACTAGGATTATCTAGGTTTTTCAATTGTAACGCGCGCGAATGAGATGGAGTGCGGACGAGAGAGTATGATGTAGAGGGATGAAATTCGTCTGGTTGCTGATAAGTATCTCTTTCTCCCCAAACGAACCATCGTTTCTGAGATTCGAAACATCATCATCCTCACCTCGATCATCTGCCCTCACGACGCCTCTTCCTATCCCTGAGAGGGCTGCCTTGTCGCTAGCCGCCCGGATGGGCAGGTCGGTGCATAGGTAGTCCGATGGCCGACCAAGAAAACCCGACCCTTTCTCCCCCGTTCTCGAGAGCTCCTCTCTATAGCATTTCATAGGGAACTCCCTATGAAGGCGTCACTGGTTGTGTGAAATTCTGGTTCTGTACGATATGCTCTCATACCTTGCTTGCTCTGAGCAAGCTGCTCTGGGCTCGCTCGATTTTTCTCATTCGTTCCTTCCCCGATTCGGATGGAGCTCTGCGGCGACGACCGCGGATTTTCTAAGTGATTCGAATGTCGAGAGAACGCCCCCCTCTATGGGTTCTAGTTTCATCCGATCTTGGTTCGGTGTTTCACCCAGCAAAATTTCATTTCTGCTCGGTAAAATGCTTACCGATATATCTTCCGATGGTCGCAGGAGGTGGCAGCGCGAATAACATCAACAAAAGCAAGCAATGGCTCTAATAACATACAATGAATGAACTATGATAGTTAGTTATTTATTATTATTTTCTATTTTGTCTTCCCTTCTCATGTAATGTACTTTCGAATACAGTCGATTACCGAAGAATCAATTATTTCATGTTCACTGTCTCGTTGTATATATAATATTATATATTAGAAAAATAAATGATTGTCGAATGAGCTTGATGGGTGTTTTACTCTCGTATGTGAAGAATAGGTGCTATCCGATTCCTGAGTCCCCCACAGTCCCATGCTCCTGATGCCCCTGCAGATACTGCACTTCCGACTAAGTATGTATTTTTCTCCGCTAAAGCAGTGGAGGAGGAATCCGATGTATCGCGAAGGTTGCGAGCCTCTTCGAAAACAAGGAAGCAAGATCGGTTGAGTCGACCCAGCAGGGAGCTCTTGATCTACGTACGACCTTTGAGAAAGAATCGGGGCATCGGTATCAGAATTTATTAAGGATAGATTGATGCATAGAGTGATGTACAATCACTTCTCAACACGACAGCGAAAAACTTGTTCGAAGGCCTCCACATAGACCGGCTCCACGTCCCCGATCGACACCTTCGCGCCTAGCTCACGACTCAGTGACGTGACTCCTTTGCCTGCTAAGCCGCATGGAACTATATGTTCAAACCATGTGAGATCCGTATCACAATTCAGAGCCAGTCCGTGCGTCGTGACATATCTGCAGTCGAGGGGAGGAATTTTTAGATAGGCCATTCTCTCAGACTCCAACCATTGCGATGAAATGCATACCCCTGGCATAATCTTGATTGAGCCCAATCTTCAACAAACCTCGAGCAATGAATACCGATAGCCGCAATTTTAAAATCCCGACCTTTGAGCCAAACTCCCGTATCCGCAGTGCGCTCGGTTTCCACGCCGAACTTTCGGCATGTGTTGATGATCGACTGCTCGAGTTGGTAAACATATGAACGTACTGTTCTCGCGACTTGGAACGAATGGAGGTGAATGATTGGGTAGACGACGAGTTGGCCCGGGCCGTGGAACGTTATGAGACCGCCCCGATCAGAGCGTACAAAGCTCGCCCCTGAAACGATTCGGCGCTCCTGAGATATCCAGAGGAGTCTCGACCGCCCCCGGGGCAACATTCCCACGGTCCCCCAATGAGCAAGTTTCAGACTTGACGTCCACCAAATATCGCTAGAGATCTGAAGTTTTTTTGTTTAGCATTCGATTGTTTTACCCAATTTCTCGAGTTGCTGCTGCTGTTTGACATCGTAGTTGCTGGTACGGATGCCGATCGTATACACCGGCTCATGCTCAACGAATATGAGTGTATTATCTGGCTTGGATTTTGATTCTAGCTGACTCTTCAATTTGGAAGCGATTTGATCCTGAATTCTCAAAGCATCCGTGTAGGACTTCCTACCGAGCCGGAGGAGCTTAATGCACGGTGAATCCATCGGCCCCTCGGAGTTTCGCAAGAATCCTGTCCCGCTTGCAGTGGTCCCGCGAGCAGAAAAATCACTTGAGCATGCTCAATGTAACTCGGAGCTACGAGCGAATCTGTACATGAGGCGTAAAAGCATCATGTATCAGACGCATCGGAACGGCCGTCTCGCTTGCTCCCGAATGAGTTTACCCTGGCGCATGTCCACCGCGACCGACGGGGTCGGAGATCGGAACTCGTCGCTGCTGATACCGGGGTATCTCTCCTTCCGAACGTGGTAAACACAGCATATATATACCGGCCTCGGTCGGCACCTACCCCGCCGATGGAGGGCGCGGACGGAGAGCTTTGAACCTTTACGGGCTGAAGCTGTCATCTCCACCAACTGCATGTCGTATCTCTTCTGATAGGAGGGCATGCCCGACAATCATCTACAGTCCCTAGGGCATGACTCTTCAGGTCGGATATTTATCCATTGAGGACCGCGTTTTTTCTCTAGGAAAACTCCCCATCCCAGCCTCAGATAGACAATATGAATGACTTACGTGCTCATCCTCATCCTCATACCATTAAGTTGCCGCGCCATGGAACTTCGCATATGTCATTTGCTTGCGTATCATCTACATATATGAGCTCGTTTGTGTTTGTCTCACTCGACACACCGCGGAAATTGCATCGGCCATCCGGATCATGAACTCTACGAGCTTCAGCGAGCTTCTGGCGACCAGAAGATGTCCATCGATAAAGGTCTGAATCTAGTCATCATCATCTGTTCCCTACCCGAACGCGCGCATGTTCTCTGGATTCTAGTACTCCGGAAAGTACCTCGGAAGGTGCCTCCGAGAATTGTCCTGAGGCGATTCCGAATCGTATGGAACACATATGACCAACAGAGTAGCGGCGCTCACATCTCGAGGATGGCCGCTCGCGGTACACAGGGGCAATTTGTATGCATGGCTCAGGAGTCACTCACATGACTGCGCGGCTATCTCTAAACTGCGACGGGATTGGAGTGGTAGCTCGCCTGCGAACTGTTATCGACCCGAGAGTCTCCCGGCTGCTGACAGCGCTTCCTTCCGGAAGCTTTTGGGAGCGTTATGAGATGAGTTATGATCAGAGAGACCCGAGACGGATTCGGAGTTACATATAACTGTCTATCCGGAGACTCTCGAGGAGGTGATGTCCCCCGACCGCTCACTTTGGAGCATATGTAGCCCCTTGGTACACTCATTATTCGGGCTTTCGAACAAGCGGAGGAGGAATTGTGATGGTTCACCCTCTCCCGAAGAGATAAATCCCGCGTGACGCCATTTTGAAATCTACCACTTGCCCGCTCCCTCGCCACAGCAGCGGCGCGTACCTCGTGAGTTCGGCGACTCCCCGCACCGATGATAAGGTGTCTTGTGCAGACCGCAAAGAATTCACGGTACTTACGAAGAACGAAGCAAGTATATTCGAGGGAATCCGCTTCCTGGATCGCAAGTATGCCCGTGACGAAATACCCCACGCCGAGAAGATCGGATACCTCAGAAGTTCTGCATGGCATAACTGTGAGTAGATCGAAACTCCCGAATGACTCGAGTATTACGTCAGCGAACTTACTGACAGCTGTTTCACGAACTTCCCCGACAGCAGGTACTCCGAGCTCTCCAACATGTCGCAGTTGAGAGATTGCACAGCGCTAATCGGACTTGTGACATGCTGGTTTCTGCCCTTATATTCCGATAGCCTCAGAAATGAGCGAATTCCGCGATATTTTGGATAGCATTGCCTGCTGAGACTCACTCCATTGTGGATCGGAAATCCTACGGGGCCGTGGATGTGCTCCACTGAATTGAGCTCCTGAATGTATTCTATTTAGCCTCCATGTGACGTTGTGGAATCGGTGATGAGTTGCGTGGCTATGACATGACTGATGACGATTCACGAAGACGTGGAAGCATTATATTCGATGCTACGGCCGCGGATCGGCAATCTGCTCGTCACACTATCGGTTCCATTCCTTCAACTGTCGGCGAAGCGAGAGGAGGGCGGTATCTGATTTCCGACGTGATCGGAACACGCACGGTCTTTGTCGAGAGTCCTCATATAAGAAAATAATATGCATTAGCGTACTCAGAGTCAGGCTGGGGCAGACAAGCGAGGACGGGGTGGGGCAAATAATTTTTTTCACGGAGTAAATAAATAATAAATTTTGCTCCAGGTGAAGGATCCTTATCGATGGATGGAGGATCCCGATGCAGAAGAAACGAAGGCGTTCGTCGAGGCCCAGAACAAGATAAGCAAGCCTTATCTGGATAGGTGTCCCCATAAGAAAGAGCTGACGGAGAGCCTCACCAAACTATGGAACTACCCGAAGTTCACGGTGCCGTCCAGGAAAGGGGATTACTATTACTTCCGGCACAACAGCGGTCTCCAGAATCAATTTGTTACGTACATGAAGAAGAATCTCGATGATGAACCTGAAGTTTTTCTCGATCCGAACTCACTGTCTGAAGATGGAACGGTGTCGCTGACCGAATCGGCGTTCTCTGAGAATGGCAATTACTATTGTTATGGTCTCGCTCAGTCTGGGTCTGATTGGTCGACTCTCCACGTCAAGGACGTGAGGCAGAAGAAAGACCTCCCGGAGAAACTCGAGCGTTTCAGATATTCTTCCGTTTCATGGACGATCGATGAGAAGGGTTTCTTCTACGGACAGTATCCCGACTGGAGCGGTATGGAATCTCGTGATGGCGACTACCTGAAATACGTTCCAGACTGACTCCGGTCACCAGTCAATGCTAATTACGCGTCCTTCCTCTCCTCAGGGAAGGTCACCGGAACCGAGGCGAAAGCAGTGGAAAATCAAAAACTCTTCTACCACAGACTCTCGACGCCTCAATCAGAGGACGTTATGTGCGTCGAATTCCCGAAAAATCCCGAATGGAGGATCACGCCCGAGGTATCATACTGCGGTCGTCACCTCATCGTGAGCGTCCAGGAAGGATGCCAGGACAACATCGTATTTGTTGCTGACATACCGGAAAATGTCACAGGTGTCCTAGAGCTCAAACCAATCTACGAGACATTCGACTGTCGGCTCGAATACATCACAAATGACGACGACATATTCTACTTCCGAACAAACAAGGACCGCCCTACATATGGCGTGGTAAAGATCAACATTAGAAAACCCCAAGAATGGATCGATGTCGTGCCTGCCCACCCTAAGAACGTTCTCGAGTGGGCCTTGGCCGTTGATGGGGATAAACTGATCGTGGAGTATTGCCAGGATGTTGTAAGCAAATTGCAGATCCATAAGCTCAGCGGAGAATTTCTGCAGAACTTGCCGCTGGACATAGGTGCGGTTAGCGAAATTTCAGGGAAACGGAAGCTCTCGGAAATCTTCTTGAAGTTCTCCTCGTTCCTGACTCCCGGAAGAATCTACCGTTGCGAGATCGACAAGGCACCGGAAGCGGTGCTCGAAGAACACAAGAATATCGAATTGGCCGGCCTTCCAACAGACGATCTTGAAGTCGAACAAGTCTTCTATGCAAGTCAAGACGGTACCAAAGTACCGATGTTCATCACGCGCAAGAAAGACCTACCGCGAGACGGCTCCGCTCCTTGCTTGCTCTACATCTACGGAGGCTTCAGTATCAACCTCTCACCTTCGTTCAGTCTCTTCCGATTGATGCTGATCAAGAGACTGGGCTTCTCTGTGGCAGTGGCCAATGTCCGAGGAGGTGGAGAGTACGGCGAGGAGTGGCACAATGGTGGCTGTCTGAAGAATAAGCAGAATACTCTCGACGATGTACATGCAGCCGCCGCATTCCTCGCCGATAACGGCTACACACGAGCCTCCCAATTGGTCCTGATGGGGGGTTCGAACGGAGGAATGGTCACCGCTGCGAGCATCAATCAGAGGCCTGAACTATTCGGAGCAGCAATCGCTCAGGTCCCGGTGACGGACATGTTCAGATTCCACAAGTTCACCGTCGGACATGCATGGTGCTCAGATTTCGGCAATCCGGACAAAGCTGAGGATTTCGAGGTTCAGAGAAAGTATTCGCCTTTGCACAACATCCCAGCGGATATCGATAATTACCCCAGTCTTCTCGTGACGACAGCGGATCACGACGATCGCGTTGTACCTTCCCACTCACTGAAGTTCATCGCTGAACTCCAACATCGACTCGGTGAGAAGAACCAGAAGCCGTTGCTCGCCTTGATCGATACGAAGGCAGGTCACGGAGCGGGCAAACCGACATCGAAAGTTATCGACGAACTTGTTGAGTACATGTGCTTCCTGAACCTCACCTTGGACGCTAAATATCGAGAATGATTCTCTTGGAAATGTTTGCTCTCATCGAGGGAACAACCGTGGTTGCGATAACTGGAATAGGTCTTTTATGTCATAGGAAAAAAATAAGATCGAATGAAGTGACTCGGCTCAAAGAATATTCGATCTGGAATACGCTTCTCCTTCAATCAGCAGCGTCTGAGCGGGCGACTTTCCCTTCGAGCCGAAGGGATTGACAAGCTGGCCATTTGAGCTTGGGGTCTCACAGGCGTCCGCAACCTTTTCCTCTGGGGAGGGAGGGGGGGCTAGGTCGGACCTCTGCCCTGGGCTCCGTACATTCTATGCGGCGACTCGCTCCTACACGAAACCTCAGCGGTTCGCTGGCACACAGTCTGAAGGGGGGCTATCTATACCCCTCGAATGAAATTGCGGAACGCTATCTCGGATACGACTTCAGGAACGACGCTTCAGCATTTTATTACTCTGGGGGGAATATGCGTCAGGGGTAACGGACGTGCGGAGAAGATTATAGTCACGTATCGAACCACACTTTGAAAGCAGCCCCGACAAGAATTAATACTGTGGTCGCTGCCACCGTTAAAGCCACTCCGTCAAATTTGAAGCCGGCAGTGCAATCAGTGCCATCATTCGAGTCTTTCTTCTTCCCTCGCTTAGTTCTGCGTCCTCCGAGTACTCTTTCGACTTCGAGAGCGTTGCGTTCTTCTTCCTGCTTCTTCTTGGCTGCCTCTTCAAAGGCTCTGCGTTCGTCTTCCTGACGCTTTAGTCGCTGCTGTATCGCGCGGCATTCTTCATCACATTTGACTTTCTGCGACTTCGCGTCTCTAGCCCCGCAACAAACTTCCTGTTTGATTCGCCGACAAGAGCAGAATAGAGTGATCATTTTTCTACATTGTCTTGGATCCCCGCATTCTCCCGGATGGCATTTCAGGAAACATCGATGCCCGCATTCGAGATTCTTCCCGCAACGCTGCAGGCAGCGTTGAGCGCTACGACGTTCTTCCTCAGTCATGGCGCACCACTCCCTGCAGGATTTCACCGTAAGCGTGTTCTCACAGTGGCATCTGAACTGGACGTATTGATTGCAGGGCGAACAATCGCCTGCATGGCACGGTCTACCGCAAGGATGTGAGCACTCTTCCGGTCGACTTTTGGACTGGCACCCATTCCCACAGTACTGCTCACAACTCGAACCGGAAACCAGCCCGTTCGGAGCGTCGGAGACTACATGACATTCAAGAGTACAACCATGTTGGCCACACGGCAGAATGCGTCCACATGGCTTTCCGCAGCTCGATATCCTCGCGGCATGGCACGGCCATTCTGTTTCCCCGTGCTTACCGAAGCAGTCTACGCGAACTAGTTCGTTGCACGGAGGACACGGTTTCGCGATGAGCTCCCAGCGCGCTTGGGGCTGAGGCTCCCAGGGACCTCGTGGCTTCTCCTTCGGGAGGATCTTCGCCAGAACGGCACTGTGGCATTTCGCAGTACACGTGTGGCCACAGGACAAGGTTCTTGCGCAGGGCAGCGCACAAGGAGGACAGCGTCCCGGATGACAGCGATGCTGAACCTTGGTCTCGTGGTGGCAGTCCGGCGGCATGACACAGAGCTCCCTGCACACCACTTTCGCGGTTTGCAGATTAGTCCCGCATGGGAACAGGAGAGAGGTCTTGCCGCAGGGGCAAGCCTTTTCCTTCTGATCGCGACACGGGAAGCAAGGTCCGCTGTGACAGAGACTCTGGCATTTGTGGATACCACAATGCAGTTTCTTGTTGCAGGCGATAGTGCACGGTGGACAATCTTCGTCGGGCGGGCAGCATTTCCTCGTGCAAATATGGCCGCACGGTTTTGATCGACCGCATTTCTTGTCGCACGTAAATGCTTTCTGACACTGCATCTGCCGTGATTTGGCGCCACAACGGCATGCTTTCAAAACCATCTCCAAGCAATTCTCGCAGTCGCCTTCGTGGCATTTGTTCCAGCATCTATGCTCACCGCAACTGAGCAGTTTCTCGCACGTATTCAGGCATGTGGGCACGGCGGTCTGCGTGCAGCTGAGCTCCGTGTACTTGGTCCGACCGCATGGACAGCAGCGTGGACGGCTCCCAGGACAAACCCCGCACTCGTTCGGCCGGTGACACCGATCTTCGCATCGATGCAAGCCACAACTGAGCTGCTTCCCGCAGAGTTTTTCGCATTTCCATGGAAGGGCCGCGCATTCTGCCCTGCGCTCCGACGAGCCGCAATTGCATTTCCGAATGCTCTGTTCTTTGCAAGGCGAACATTCCCCGCGATGGCATAGCTCTGGGCAAGCGTGTAGGCCGCAAGCCAGCGGACGCCGACACACACCGTTGCATGACCACTCCTTCTGGGAGCAGCGCCGGGTGACTGTCGAGGCGTTGCAGAAGCAAACCGCTTGGACGGTCTTCGGGCACGGAGGACACGGACCAGGATGACATAGAAGGGTACACGTGTGGCCGCAAGCTGGTTTCAACGCCCGAGCGCATATCGAACCACACGAATGGGGGCACAACCTGTCAATAGAGTCGGAATGAAATCCACCATCTCATCGGTCGAATCACAGGTTTCCGAGATGTCAGAAAAATGTAGGTACCTACGATCGATATCAAATACCATTTGTCAAAGTTGGGATCCTTTTCCTTGCCACAGAAACACATGTACTGCTGAGGTATGCTCGTCAGCTGAGATCGGCAATTCGGACACGACCAAGTCGTGGCCGCGGTGCTTCCGTCCCCCGATTTCCCGAAAAGGAAAAGAGAGTCCTTCGCCCATTTGCCAACGCATGTCAGATGGAGTATCTGGAAGCAGTGGGGACAGCTCCATGTAGCTTCAGTGTGGCGCACGCTCTCGATGCATATCAGGCACGTGACGATACCTTGGAAAACGAAATTGAAAGTATTATAATCTAGTCAGCCTCTCCACCATTTCAAATTGCTGTTTTTCAACTCACGCACCCGATAAGAGGTTATCCAAGATATTCTGAGTGTCTTGTCTGTTCCCTGAAAATCCTTCCGAGATCTTCTTGAGTATGGATTCTTCTTCGAGAGGCACCTCGTCTTCTGCTGCTTCTTCGTCGTCACCGGCAACACCCTTCATCTTCTCCAGATGTCTCTGGGTATTTTCCCGTATTTTAGCGCACGCGGCTTGAAACGTCGCATTTTGTCCTTGCGCGGGCGAACTTTCCCTCCCTTGTGAATTGACCAGAGGGGCTGTCTGGACTTTCTTTTTCCGCACCATGATCGGTCTGAGGAATACGAGAGGATGGAACTTATTCGAAGTCTATGAACACTACACCTGATAGTTTCATATGGATAATTGATAATGAGAGAATTTCCGGCAACTGATTGAACGGGACCACGTCTCCCGATCCCCGATCACGCTGGCAAAGGCACCTACCATGAGCAGAGCCCGGAATATCAATCAGGGAGCACTGCCACGCTGTACTCTCTGGAAAGTTTATCGATGCAGGGATATTCTCCGGACAAGAAAGGGAGGAATCAGCTGTTGTGCTCCACGGAAGTCAGCTTGTTCGCAGTATCCACCGGGAGGCCAAGGCTCGAAGTGCCGCTGTTCCCGTGCGAAAATCTGGAATTCTTTCCGGAAGTGGTGCCTTGTGGACCGGATCTCCCTGCCATCAGCAGCGATCGCGATTTGAGGACACCGGCTATTATTCCGTTCTATGTCTTCAGCTGATATTCGAATAAACAGCATGCGCCCGCAGACCACGGCTCTCGACTCTCGATCCGTGATGGCGCCGCTGTGGGAGATTCGTGCTCGAAAACTATTTCCGCTGATTTCCGAGGGAACACGGCCGTTCGAAATACGTCAGGCCGGTAGTACGATCTTGAAGAGGGGGTTAGGGAGTGAAAAAGATCCTCAAGACCTGGCGAGTTCCTCCGTTGGCTAATCCCAAGCTGATTGTCCCTTGAAAAACCTCGCTAGTTCAGTGTGGGCGTCGAGGGGTCTCTAAACGCAGCGGCACCCGAACTGAGATCTTCTCCTGATTGACGACACTTCTTAGAGTCTCGCTGACCTTTTCCATTCGCTGGGAGTAGCCCCGCGATGACATTTCGGCCGAAGTTTGAAAATTGGCGCCTTTTTTTCTTCTTATTGCTGTCGCTTTATTTCGATATTTCGCGCGAAGATTCAGACGCGTCAAGCCGCGTTCGATCCGGGGACTGCGCAAGATGCATTCGCTATAACTTTATCGCTCGCATAGAATCTCACCCAGAGCCTTCGAAAAGCTGGATGGCCCTTTTCGTTTTTTTTCGCCCGTCCGTCGACCCCGTCGGGACAGAATTACTGTTCCGCGACTCCCTGAGGAGAGCACTCATGCCGAAGACGAAGAACGACTGCACGTAGATACTCTATTTGACCGGAAAAAAACTTCTCCTAATTTTTCATCGATGCGGCACCATAGGTGTGGGTATGGTGGCCCGATGGATATTAGTCCGGAAATAGCGATGATGATGGTTGACGAACGATAGAGTGCAAATGAGGAAATGAGTCGAGAATCGAGACTCAATTGCGAGTTGGGTCCGGCAGCGACACGGATGTCCGACGCTTCGCCGTTACCATTCGACACCGTGCTCTGCGGTCCGCAGGATCTCGCTCAAGATCGAAGAGACGGGGAAGAGAGCTGAATTTGAGCGCGGAGCAAGATGGTGGATATAGTTCTCATCATTAGACGACAGGCCCGGGGTCGTCGGCCTCCGACAAGCGCGTCATCATCCTCTTCATTTTCACAAACATAAACAATCCCGCCCTCTCCCCTAGATATGGGAGCCGACGAGGAGAACGAACACAGTGCAAGAAGACGATACAATTTACTCGATAGTCCCCACGTAGAGTGCTCAAGCGTCGGGGCGTACCGGCGAGTGCCATTTCAAGTCTGTGTTCTCCCTCAGAGAGCGGTACTGAACGCGAGATCACTAGGCTCTCTTGGCGGGACAGACTTGCCTTCGAATAACTTGACGATACCACACTCTCAGAAACTCGAGGTGCAACAATGGCTGTCCCGCCGTACCAATTGAAACAAAAGCCGACTGACGCTTGGTCAATTCGCGAGAAGCTAGCGCTTGCGTCATCGGTCGAGCGAACCCGAGATCAGAACTGGGTGTCCGTCAGTCGACAGATAAAACCTTTCGCAGAGACCAATCGGCCGCCCGATTGGTTTTCCCAGAAAAATTGCGCTCTCCAGTACGGCGCCCTCCTCGAAGATGTTGAACACCCAAAAAGGAAACGTGGAGAGGAAATCGCGACTCCAGGTAATCGATATTCACTTACGAGACTTCTTCCCGAGCATCTTCCCACCACTCGATCATCGCTCCGAGGGGAGACATTCACTTCGGAGCGCTCGATGGTTTTTCCGAAGCGAATCGCTTGCGGAATCGCGAAGCGGCTCGAAGGATTCGAAGAACCGGGATTTTCCTTCCGGAATCCCTCTATTCCTGGGCCAGTCACATCTAATGGGGGGAAATCAGTAGAATGAAATCATCATGAATCCATGAATTCCCGATGGATATGTCGCTCGCTTCGTCGGATTTCCGTCCTTGGCTTGATGTGTCGATAATTTCCATCGTTTCGGAGCGAGGCGAAAATCTAACTCATGTGAACCTCTCCAGGGTCGATCATAGTGAAGAATCTGGTTCAGGAGAGGATCAAGGAGCTCGAAAAACTCCTGAGCGATGGACTTGAGAAGCACGAGAGGCTCCAAAGGGAGTTGGCTTTACTCACAGATGACCAGACGGATGATCAGAAGGTCGAGTCGATGGTCGACGAGGCCAACACAGCTGTCGAGAGTGAAATTCGCCAGGAAGAAGTATATGAGCGATGGCTAAAGGAGCGCGAGGTAAGAGTCTCTTACTCCCAAAACCGACTTCCCGGCGCGCGGTCTCCCGAGAGAGGAAGTCATTACTGTTCCTTTTTCAGCTCGAGGCGGAACGTCAACGACAGCGACGACTGCACGCTTTGGCGATGAAAACCAAGAAACAAGTGCGCACCATCAGCGATGCGTCCGATTCGATGCATTCGGACGATTCGAATCTCGTCGTCGCTCCGGAGTCACCCCTTCCACCTCCACCGTCGTCGAGTCTCTTGACAACCCTACTCCGGTCTCCGACTCAATCCCCGAACCAGAGTCCGCGAACATGCCATGGATCTCTCCAATCGAATACGGTCCCGTCGGTGTCGCTCCAAAGACTAAGCGCCGAACCTCAGAACACCGGCTCGAACGCGGCCGTTCCCAAGCCAACAGCTTGTTCCAGCATACAGGCGCCCACGCTGTCGAAACTCCTGGAGCAAGCTCCGCCTTCAGCGCCTTCCACCCCGGCAGCGAGCGTGGATGCTACCCTGGACGATAAAAATCAAGTGAAGCTGGTCGAGACAGTGAAGGACGAGATCAAGGTGAAGCAGGAACCAACTTTCCAGGATACTCTTTCCGCGATCGAGGATGTTACGAGTCGACTGCAGGAACCGCCGCACATAGCCCCCCTTGATCCGAGTATCGCGCGAGCCGTGGAAGCCGTTCCGGAAGTCGATGTGGGAGACGAGAACATTATCTCGGTCATCGAACAGCTACAGGAAGACATGCAGCGCAAAGAAGAAGAGGACAACCAACGAAAACAGCTTATGGCGATGCAGCAGAGCCGTGAAGTTCCCCCCAACGCTGTGAGCGACCCCCTCCAAGCTCAGCATCCTCAGTCTGAGACTCAACAGGCTCATTCCATCGAGGAAATGGCTCCTCTGAAGACACCGCCAGAGCCTCAATCGGTCAAGATCGCCTCCCTCCGAGATCCGTCTCGTGAGTTGTCTCGACAAACTCAGCCACAAAAGCAGCAATCTCAACAGGAGCACGCCTCCGGGGACACCCAATCGTTGGAGAGATCGACGCAGGGAGCTTCGAGCTCCCAAGCTCCACAGCAAACGCAACATTTCTCGCCTCAGCAGATCCCACAGACGTCGCAGACGCCCGGGCAACAATCCGAGAGCGAGCAACAGCCTCAGCAAGAACAGCAGATCTCCCTTCAACGAAAGGAGCCGCCGATGTCGCATTCCCAATCGCAGGTGAAACAATCTCAGCAAGAACGACAGCATCCAACCCATCAGCCCCAGCAGACGCAGCAAGAGGAAGAACGTCAGGCTCCATCCGAGAGCTCGAAGTTTCCAAGCTCACATCTAGACGCGAACCAAGACGAGAAACAGGAATCTAAATCGCAATCAGCAGAGCAGAAACAGGCGGTTCCGTTCCCGAAACCTACAAACACAAAGGTGAGCGCTGGTTCGCAGATCCCTGCGGAGGAGTTGCCGAAAAAAGTACAGCGAGATCGAGACAGCACTCAGAAGCTGAGAAACGAGCAGAAGTCGTCAATCGAGACGCTCAAGACCGCCTCAGCCGAGAGAACATCGAAGGCGCCGAATCCAACGACCGACGCGATTCCGCAAAATTCAGTCAGAGCTCAAGTGCCGAAATCGCCGCAGGTTCCTAGAGTTACAGAAGCGGTTAGTGTTGACTTGGTGTCAGACTTGGTCCTGGGAGCATAGGTATACTCCGTAAATTCAGAATGGGTTTGCTAGGACAGATCTTCTGTTGAAAAAGCGTACCTCGAGCTCACCCTCCTCTTTGTTCCGCAGGATGAAGAAGTCAAGACCGAGAAGAGAGAAGATATCAAGATCGAACCTGCAGAACGCTCAGGAACCACGGAGAGTTATCCGGCCCACGGCACCGAAGAGGTCTCCGGACAAGACTCTTGTCACGAACCTCCTGTCTATGAAGAGCACGTCGCAAGTAATGCCGAACTCGAATCCGAAACGCTTTCTCAGAGGGGAGTCAAGGACGGCCATCCCGAACAGGACGAGATGATCGAGGAGGAAGTCTCCGAGGAAGAAATCACGCATGATCAAGACCACGAACTGGGTGTCAAGAATACTGCAGCGCTGGAGAGTCAAGCTGCAGTACCAGCAGCGAAGAACCTCAAAGGTTGGCCCAGACTTCATCACTTTGAAATGTCTCCTTGTTTCGCTCAATTCGAATCGATTCCATTATCGGATTACACTCCCTCGGGTACGTGCTCGCTCGCGCGATTGAATTGGGTTCCCCGCTTACAGAATCGTCGACGGATAAAGAGAAAGATGTTGACCGCGAACGAGACCAGAAGATCTGGAAGAAATCCGCTCTACTCGTCTGGAGAACAGCAGCTAACCACAGCAATGCAAGCGTATTCCTGAATCCGGTGCCCGAGGACATGGCTCCTGGCTACGATGACATCGTGTTCAAGCCCATGGATTTGGCGACAATCAGGAAAAATATTGAAAATGGCGTCATCAAGACATCCATGGAGCTGCTCCGGGATATGATGCTAATGTTCCAAAACGCCATCATGTACAATAGTGCGGATCACGACGTCTTCCACATGGCCATCGAAATGCAGGACGACGTGAGTGACATAGACTGGAATTCCTTCGAAACTAGATAGGGTCTCGCTCTGACGAAGTGTCAAGTCGCGTCTAAAGCAAAATTTCACCATCTTACCGCAGGTGGTCAAACAGATTGAGGAATTGATGGCGAACGAAGCCAGCGAGAGGACAGGTGCTTCACATCCTCCAGAAGGGTTGAAGAGACCGGCTCGACACCGCCACTCGGATTCCGACGTGACCTCTAAGAAGCCTCGACGGTCGACAGGCTTCGGTTTCAAATGATTGTTATGATATGAGGAGAAGATTAAGAGAGATATGAAGTTCCGGACTGAGCAGATCTGCTCGACGCATTCGAGATGAGGGGGACGAGTATTTGTGGTGAAAGCTTGTTCACTCGACTTGTGCTTGTGCTTCATTTCATCACACGTGTAAATTGGAGAGATTTTCCATAATCGAGTAAGAAAACGAGAGGAGTTTAATAAAACTGTATACAATTTGAGTTGATTGCCTCGTCCCTCGCCGCGGACAGACCACGAAGCCCTACCTTACGATACCTGTCACACCCGGGCTCGTCTGCCATGCTGCTGAGAAAGGTCCGAGCCGACCAATAAAAAAAATCCCCGGGGTTCCCGAGTCAGGGACTCAGGTGGTTTGTGGGCGTAGAACTACGTGAACACGGAACACGTAGTTCCGTGAGTTCGGAGATCTGCGAAAGATTTTCGATACTACCCTCCGGTCGACGAAGGGTATCACGAGATTTCCTCTGGCCGTTGTTCAAAAGACGCTTTTTTAGTTAGAGGAAAACGAGATCAGAGAACTCAACTGCGGGAACGGGATTCGGTCGGTAGCAACCTTCGAAGACTTCGGCAAATTTTCTAAACTCAGAAATGTTGACGAATGACATCAAAATCTACTTATTACTCAACCGACAAACTTCAAACGGATATACGGTCCGATATCTGCACCGAGTGCGGCGTCGTTTTCCGCTTGGCAACCCGCAATTCGGACGGCAACCGGTACGTGACCGAGTGCCACACTTCCTCGTGGAGGATATAAGGATTGGAGAACATCGCGACTATGCGTATGTAAGGTACATCAGATTCCATGACCATGTTCGCCTAGGAGAAACGCTGCTACATGATGTGCTCTCTCGATGAGATCTCATATTGCCGATCTCAAGGAACAATCATTGCATGTCCGATGGAGGATTTTTAGAGTATCGCGAGGCCGCGCATCCGCATCTGGACGATGATGGGGATGAATTAGTTGAAGACTAATAAAATTAGGTTCTTAATGGAATGTCGGAACCTTAGAATGATCATGATTCGGCATTGTAAGGATGGATTCCCTTATCCTCCTTTTCGAGACCATCAGTGGGCGGCGGCACTCAAAAAAGAGCTCTTCATTCTGGAATGATTTGTCCCAACGCGATAGACACACGTTCATTCATTAACAATGCTGCGACAGGACGACAGCACCGTTTAAAAGTTTATCGTTGGGTGAACCACTCCCTCCCAATCGTCCGCTAAGCCGTACGGCCCGCCGTGGCTAGATTCTCTTAGCACCACGTTGCGTCCTGCCTGATAGGTGATTTCCTGAGGACCACTTCGGTTGAACTGAACTACGACTTCTCGCCCTTGTTTGTTACGGGAATCTGCTTCGTATCGCTTGTCTGAACACTGTTTGTTTTCTTATGTCGGGATTATGGCTGACGATGTATTAGGCGCAACTCGTTCTTTTTTCTCCACGGAGTCCGGCATCCTTAGCTTGCTAGTCAGAAGGTTCTCCGCCGGTGTCCTTCCACGACCATTGACATCGACCAATGAGGAAAGGAAACGCATGAATGTAGTAGCCAAGGCTAGAATGAACGACGAGAGTCCATTCTCATAAGAGGAGATATGAAATGAAGAACGCGCGCACATCGTTTTCCGCTGTCATTATACAACCTCAACCGGAGGTGTTAGTTGTCTTCAACATCGTCGCGGGGTGGAGGAAGAATTGAGGAAAGTTTCAACGACTAATTTAGCAAAAACTGAGGCGATCCTGAAGGAATAGATCCATCTCTAGCGGAGGAGAGATTCTCCGCCAAATATAATTTAAAATCAGAAAGAGGGAATTTCTGGGCCCATCAATCGACATAGCGTTTCCAGAACAGTTGATTAGGACTAATCACGGTATGCTAAGGGTTTCTTGCCCTCAGTTTTTTCAGCCTCCGAGTCCTCGTTCCGACGTTCTGCGAGAACGAGCCTACTTCTTGGCCTGTATTTTATGAAATAATAAAGATAAGGGGGAAATTGTGTAGCATGAACGGTGCCTCATTCTCAGCCGGACATATTCAGCCATCACCATTTTCATTGTCAAACGCTCTGTTTCAGAGAAATAAGCTCGATAAGTTTGTTACACAGGTGACTCGCATAAGAAAAGTGCGTCGAATTTTTTCGAGCTTTGGCCCCCCAATACTCCCCATTGAAGTTGGTTCCCGTTACCGGGGGCTATAGCGTAGTTCTACGCTAAAACCGGCTCCGGATCCTTCCTACCGCGCTGTCGGAGGGTCTGAGATTCGTCTTCTGCCAAGTTCGACGGTTGCTGACTGCTCTAGACATGAGGTTCAGGCTCCTCTGGGTGCGGCTCTTCCGAGGGCCCTCCGGGGCTTCGGAACCCCGCGTGCGGTCTTTCCGGGCTTCGTGACTCCGCGTCTCGTGTTCCCGACTCAGCGGCTTCAGGGTGCTGTAGAAACCGGTGTGGGAACCGCTGCAAGTATGTATCCCCTCCGATTGCCGGTACCGAGATCCGGAGAGCACTGGGAAGCCATTAGCCATTGTACTCCGAAACTCCATGGCAGTCTCCGAATGCCCGCGGAGCGATCGACGGCAAGCGCGTCACCAGAGCTGCGCGCCATGGGATTTTCGTCGGCGGCGGGCTGGAAAACGGGCGGCGGAGGCGGGCGCCGCGGCGATTTTCGGCGGACCGATGAGCCCATGGCGCGCCCCGGATAGGTAACGCACGTCCGAAAGTCCTCTGATCGCGTCTCCTTATTTGTCGGGGATGAAATACTATTGGACACGTGCGATCTTCCGATGAATTCAAGTTTAATTGATCAGTGTGGACTCTCAACGACCGCGAACTACTCGATGGAGCTTCGGTCCGGAACGTCCCGTCTCATTCGAATGCTATGTCCCCGCATTCTCGTGCGAGCTCAGTACCTCGAACCGAGTTTCAATTTTTTTTCCGTGATTTTCTTCCACTTTTCATGAGGATTGGGCACGGCGCGACGGCGGACTCCGGAGGTCGGCGGCGGCGATCGCCGGCGAATTCGTGACGCGGCGCACAGCTCTGCGCGTCACCATACGCTGTCCTGGGCACACTTGATCTCAGTCCTTCAACTCGAAGAAGGCATTCAGTACCATTCTGCTCGCAGTAGTCGATGCTGACAACCACAGTTTCCTCCACAGAGACGTCGGCACTGGTGGTTGGGCTAATGACGCCAGTGTAGTCGCTAAATGATCTTTCGAGGCTGCTCTCCAATGGTATTCGCTCAATTGCTCACACACGGAGTTTTCTCAGGCGATGACGCCTTTCTACTTCGGACGAATCTCCTAAGGCCCAACTCACGATGCGGTCCATTGAACGAAGCACAATGTGTTTCCAACTATAGGCTTTCGAAAGCTCGGCCAGTGGTCGAAAACGCGTTCGGTCTTCTAGTCTCGACATCCCGCATATCCCAGGAAGCGATCCCGTTGGCCGTAGAGACAACTGATGTAGCACGACCGGATTTTCGGATTACGAGTTCGAAGTGATCTGTGTTTCTCGAGTATCTACAAATATCGACATGAGAGTGAGAACAAACAATTTAGGATGATGAATTGGGATGCCCTCCCGTCGAGAGAAGCCGATAGGAATCCAAAGCGTGCCTCGTCCTCGAATCGGGGCCTTTTATACAAACTGACTGCGGCACGACGCGCGACGTCCGCGGAAGAGTCGCGTATGATCAGATTCCTCCTTTGAGAGATTTTGGAAGACGGCTTCCGAGGGCTCATGGAAATTTTCGGTGAATCGATCGCCTCTCACCGGTTTCGGACTCACCTCAGACTCACCGGTTTCTCACTGGCGGGACTCCCCGTACGCTGAATAGCTCAAACAACTTCCGCCGAACGACGCCCCGATCCAAGATGGATCAGAGCTCTCCGCATATATTGGAAAATCTATCGCGGAATTCCAAGTTTCTTCCGGCGATTCCCCCGATCGGGGAGAGCCCGATAATTTCCCGCTCCCATCCGTCAAGATTGAGCCGGTAGTCCGAGTATCGTAATATGATTATTCAATTTCTAACCGAAGCGACCGTATCCGCGAAGGGACCCTGAAATGTCCGCTACAATACAAGACAGATATTTTGATGCAAATACCCCAGTATTCTCGGATATATTGTTTCTACGCGCTTCGAGTGGATGCCAGAGAATACCGTCACTTGTCCCAAGTCTTCGACATTCCCGCAACCTCTTTTTGAGGAGGAGCGTACTAGGACGAACGAATCTGGCTCCCCCGAAGAAATTGCGATTCGAGTCGGGGGAATTTCACGCATCTCTCCGCCCGAATGATTGAACCCCTCATTTCGCCTGTGTTAGATGTTTCGAGATACGTCAATCGTTGAAGAAGGCCGGATTCTCCCCTCTTCTCCCTCCTTCTCCGCTCAGCCTGCCGACGGAATGTCTTCTTATGAAGCTACTAGGATTACATGGCCTCTTACATAATCACTCATTTTATTCGCTCGGAAAAAAATCCTCAACATACATATGTACCTCGAAAATCTGATCCGCTGGTGATACGCTGGACTGTAGCTTTGCAAATCAAATACATCAACATATCTCCGCGATTTGCTGCATATCCATCCGAGATTCCGGATCTCGACCGAGCTCAGACTCATGGACCAGCCCGGAAGAAGTCCATCGATGGAAGCCTCCAACTAGCTGTTGCGCAAGTCTTAGAATCCGACAGGCTTCATGGATTAGAGCATCGTTGCCCTTGTTCACATGTTGCCGATGTGTGCCGGAAGATCTTGGAAATAAGAGTGCAACATGGCTTCGTCAGCTGAGAGTCTTCCCTGGGGATTGCAGACCAGCAATTTCTGAAGAAGATCCCGGCCCTTCGGATTGAGTTTAGGCACTACCTGCAAGGAGCCAGTTGGCTTGTGATGAGCAAAACATAAGATCTTTGGAGTTGGGTTCTAAATGACAGAGCGCTTCGTGAGCGACCACAGAGCAAATCTAACTGCAAATTCCCTCCTAGAGTGAGGAGGACTCACGACTAACCTGAGAGAAACTCGTCGCGGGATGGTAGATTGGGAAAGCTTTATACTCTGGTAGTTTCGACATGTTGGGCCATGTATCCTCGGTCGGCGTTCCCAATAATTTGAAAATTCGTTTCAGCTGGTCGTCGACGTCGGATCCCGGGAATAGAGGACGCCCAGCGTTGGCTAGTTCTGCGAAACCATTCGAAATCGAGGGTCAGATCGAGGGCTCTACAAGCATTCATGACGTCTCGAAGGATGAAATCAAACGACAATCACCCGCAAAAATGCAGCCCGCGGACCACATATCGATGGACGTCGTGTAGAGCTTGGCTCCGAACAGCACATCGGGTGGTCGATACCACAGAGTCACCACTTCGGCCGAATAGCATCGAACCGGGATTCCGAATGCGCGAGCCAGACCGAAATCCGCCAATTTGAGTTCCCCGTTCTGAAAGGAAGACTACCGTAATTTCCTAATGCAAAATCACTCTCTATCATTAGGGCAGATTCAGGGGACTCGGGAAATACACGGGCAATCTCTATTCTGAGGGCACGCTCTATCGTACGGGCAGGTATGGGGAGCTTGGAAGATGGACGAGTTTTCTCTCGCGACGTCTAGCGGCGCATAAAGCGCTGATCGGTAGACACCTGATGTGACTCCAGCGATAAGGGATTCTCTCGTCATTTTTGCTCGGAGATTCTCAGGAGTGAGTCGGAAAAATACAGGGGACTGTCTCCAATACGTGCACTTGATACGTGCAGGCTTCGGAAGCCTTTGCAGGGGAATGGATGGGATTTCGGAAAGGACAATGAGGCGAGACTCTTCCTGCTTTATTAGCCAGGCATCGGCCGCTCGTGAGGGAACACGAGAAAACATCGAGGATTTCGGGCAGACATCGCTCAGATTAGATAAACGCATGCCGCTCCCTCGAGTCAATCAAGCAACATGCAGGGGCGTAGCGGATGTCAATGAGCAGAGGGACGAGCTCGACGGGCGAGAGGGCGCAATGAGGATCCTGAGCAAGTTCCGGTGGCTGAACTATGGTGGTACGGGCTCTCACCTTGTTGATGAGCAGGTTCTGTGGTTTCAGGTCTCGGTGGAGGATGTTGTTGCTATGACAGAAAGACAAGCCTCTCAAGAGTTGGAACATGAACGATTGGACAACATCAGGATCTATTTCGCCGTTGAGCGAGTCGAAGTATTTTTTCAAGTCCTGATCGCAATGCTCGAAGACCAACGTGAGTTTCTTCTCCGAGTGCAGAACATCGTGGAGTCGAACGATGTTCTTATGAGGCAACTCTTTCAGGAGGCAAACTTCCCGCAGAGCCGAGCTAGGCACACCCTGCAAAACAATCGTCCACTGAAGTTTTCGTGATCAAGCATCTTCGAATTTACGAACACACAGCCTGCGGACACATAGGTCTCTGAGGAATCGATGGAAAAGCTGGATTGTTGCTTGACTCACCTCATCATCGTCATCGAGCCGGACCCTTTTCAAGGCGACGATCTCTTGAGTTTCTTTATTCTTCGCTTTGAACACTGTTCCATATGTGCCTGAAATTCCACAGTCACTCTGGAATTCGCCAGGAGATCTGCCTCATCGCGCGCTTCAGGACTCAGCCGACTCAGAGAATGCGGTCGAAATCGAGGATTTCACTGACCATCCCTGTCATCGTCTCATTGCAGCTCGTAAGCCAAGGGAGCCATCGGGCAGGACAGAGCCGGATTCCCTCCCTGCTGGAGGAAGATACCTAGGTACACAGAATTCCTCCCGGACTATCTAGCGGACAGCGGACATACCTTCTCCGATTTTCTCGAGTCGCTCATATTTCTGCATGACGCTCGAAGGTTCCGGAGCACTTCAAGAGTTTGCGAGCCGCCTAAAACCGGGAACTTCGAATTCTTGAAATCGCCATCCCAAGGTAGAGCTCTGCTCATTCAAGTGCATGGAACATGGAACGCTGGGGAGAGAGAGAGCAGGCTGCTGAGTACCATTCCTATGAGAAAGGGTATCAGTCGCGGCCTTTTTCAAACGAGGTCGTCTGCAAGCTCGAGTCACTCTCCTTGGTTGAGCGTTTCTCGTGAGCGCACGTCCACCGTCATTGAGCCACCAATCAGTTTTGTTTCGACCGACGCGTATGCTGAAGGGAGAACTGCCGACCGCGGTCCGACGTAGCCCGAAGTTACACACACGCTTGAATGTATATTCGGTGCTACCGGCACCGGCGTTCCCTGTTGTGAGCGTGCGGGTCAAGTGCAGACGTGAAGTACAAAAGCATGTCCTGAGAGGAACGGGGACTGGAAACCGAGGGAATAACGATAGTGGAACGGGGAGAACAAGTTAGGGGAAGGTACCGACGATGAAAGGACCAAAATTACGGGGATAGAAAGGGAGGAGCCGGGGATGAAAAAAAACAGGAGAGCACGCGGGAGAACCAGGACGAGGTGGAATGAGAACGAATTTAACGGGGAAGGACGGCAAAAAAACGGAAGAAACGAGAGAGAACAAGAAAAAAATTGAGAATGGAGACAGTCAAGAGCGAGCGCGCTATATCTTGGAATACTACCGTCGAGCGCGCCCCAGGAGGGTGCTCCTCCGTCCCCGCTAGCTTCAGCGAGGCCGTCCTGACCCTGACGTCGCACGAACTGCGAAATAGGATGCGGTCCCCGATTTCAGAGCCTCACAGTCGGCGGTTCGATGCCGTCGACGGGTGGTCGAATGATTAAGGCGTGAGTTTCTCCCGCCCAAACGTGCTTTTCGCGGGAAGGCTCGCGCGTGAGGTGGCGCCGGTTCGATGCTGTGTATCCAGCATTGATCCGACTCCGGAAGCAAAGCAGGTATGCTGATGATGATTCCTGGAACGTCAAACCTTCTTCACAATCAGCTAACGAACAAGTTTGCGAACTCACTAACGGAACCGTCTGAGGAAAGCAAATCGACTTTTCTCTGGTTTCGCCAAGCACTTCGACACGGAGATCCTCTCGGGGGCTCCTGCTCGATTGAACTCCTGATTCCCAGCTGTATTATTCTCACAAAGGAGAGGGAGCTTCCAATAGTCAACTCATTTCCTCGTCAAGAGATCGGGGATCGTCGTAAACGGCCTCATGCTCTATATTTATATTCACACTTATTCAGCGTCGTGCTTGTAGTTTCTTTAACATCTGGGTCTAGTCACGTCCTTTATCGAGGGTCTGGAGTTTAGACTCTGAGTTAACTGTACCGAGCATTATCTTCTTTTTGAGGGAAAACTCTTCTTTATTTGGCATTGAATGGTGAATGTTGTTCATTATGAGTAATCGACCCAAAAAAAAGAATCTTCGCTCTTCACATAAGCGGTTGAAGCTCGACTGTGAGACCGACGATCGCTCGATGAGAGACTTGACTCGCCTCGAGGAATCGAAACTCATTCGATTTTGCCGGCGCTTGGCTTTCGGATATTCGAAAGCGGAAGTTTTGTCATTTCGGTCAGCCGATGAGGTTCGCCCTTCGAGGTCGCGACCGGTGCTCTTCTGAAGTCCACAATACATTGTCTTTGAGAAATCGCTGGAAGCAATAGTTCCTTGAAATTAGAGATTCCTCTCTAATCGCTATAATTGGAGCATGAGAACTCTCCAGTTGTGATCGAAAAGGTGCAAAGAGTGACATTCGCCTCCTTGGAACAGCTCTCCGGAATTTCGTTGTCGAGATTGCTTGGCCTCCGAGGGAGGCGAAGCGCTCCCTCGTTGCCCTTGTCTAATTGAGTCGCTCGGTCTCGGAGCTGAAATTCAACCCCCCCCCTCGAATCGGAGCTACTGGATGCCGCGGATCATTCAGTTGACTCAGTCAGTGTCATTAGCCTACTCGCATATGTCGATAGGTGCATATTTCACTCACCCTTTCGGTCGTTCCATTACGGTATCTCTCCACTCGGACTCACGCTCAGCTCCCGGTGACTGCCGGAGAAGCTCCGGCGTTCGAAACGTCCCGTCGGTCGGGAGAATCCACTCTCGTTCAGCAGACGAGTTTGGTGAGAGTCAGCCCCGCTGACGCTGGTAGTTCCGGGAGAAAGAAGCCCGGTACGATCTGCTGGGAAATTAAGAAAGAGAGAGTGAAAAAGGTTCATCCGATTCCAACACCACGCTAATCATGCATATGAAATTGTTGTCCTACTTCGGGAGAAGCATCTTTCCCTCTCCCTATGCGCCAGTACATCAACAGACGATGCTCCAATATACAGAAGCATGTATGTCGACCAACTAATAAGAGTAGCTGTCCAACCATCGCACCCCCGTTTCCGACGACAACCCATAAGAAGCTCCGGCAGCATGATGAAACAGTTTCTCCGTCAGTCGAAATGTGTTCTGCTGAGGCCCGAGTGCTTAAGGAGCCTTCCATCGCTCGTCCTCAGTGCCTTCAGGGAAAAAGGCGCTAAGGTTCGGCGGAACCGCGAGGGAAAGAGTTTCGAAAACCTCGTTTATTTTCAGATCGTCCTCGATTCAGTACTGGCGCTGCGATCTCCCGTCGTCGGACTGCTACCTATGTCTTCCTCCGTATGTCGGATCCTGTCAAAAACTCTCTCTACTTCGCATGAAATGATCATGAGTCGGAGTCCTCTGATGACACTCTCGAGGTACGCTGGTGAACAGCTGGAGGTGGCTAAACTTTTCGGAAACTCGCGTGATTCCACTACTCGTGCTCGTGAGAGCCGAGGGGGTCGTCACATGTGAAGAGCTGACTGAATGATGCTTTGTGGAGCGAGCAGGCGTCAAGGACGCTGTCTGGCCAAAGGGACGACATTCTGCTCACGCTCCGCAAGAGGACGATCTCAGCTGGTCGTCACCTGTCGGATACTCCCTAAGCGAAGAGATCTGTATTGAAAACAAAATACTTGCCGCCATTGCTCAGCAAGGCGATGATGGAGAGCACTGGAGGAAGGTAATTGTATTCTGTATTCTATGTCGTAGGACAGGACGTTGAAAATTTGGGATCGACACGTAAAGCGAATCATGAATCCGATCTGAGCGTCGATGGTTTCCCGGGCTCCTCGAATGCAGAAGACTGGGATTCATATGTACAATATAGGTGCTGGATAGTGTTGACGAGCCGATCTTCCTACCCAAGGAGAAGGACCGCAGATACAAATGTACTTGGATTGGTGTCAAGCGCTATCTTCTGAATTTCGCGTCACCATCCAAGAAGTTGGCGGATCAACACCTATTTGAACGTGTGGAGCTCTGGTCCGAGACGCTGTTCAGATATTCCAATCCCAATCTCACCATCGAAAGCTGTAATCGACTCGACCGATTCCAGGACATATACAGCGATCGCTTGCTCAGGGGTGCCGAGTGTTGAGGTTGTTCGACGCTGTCGCCTCGGTCGTCCCGAAGGCATCTTCATCCTTGCCCGCCGTCGTTCCGCCGCTGGTTTGCTGCCGAAAGTCTATTCGTGCCGCCTCTTGAGCTGCCGCTCAATCTCGAACGATCATTCGGAGCTTTCGGATCGCATTGACGAGCATTTCTCTCGGACCCCTCTAGCGTACCTGACATCGCGATCGCCTCCAGAAAGTTGGATCAGGTCTCTTAAGCGGATGACTCGGGTCAAAAGTCCCAATGTCTCCGATCACTGACTCATCAGACGTGACATGCTTCCTGAGCTCGACAGGCATCGACGTCCTCACTGCGAGAACATATTCAATGAGCTCGTGATCGATCTTTGTAGCCGTTTGTGCTTCAGCCCGCCACGAAGCGCCCACCGTCAGATTTTTAGAGGATTGTTACTAGAAACGTATTCAAGCATTCAGCGCGTCCAATGAAGAGCTTGATCGAGCTGAATCACCAACGGCCCGTGCGCGCTTCGCGTCGGGCTTGAACACGGTGAAAAAGAGAGAACAAGAGCTCCTTCCTCCCCATAAGGAGCCTTCAGTACAGAGGAGGGCGCATGCGCACCTCGCACTCTTCGAACGAAGAACAGCGACAGAGATCACGACATCATCAAAATCATTTGGCTCGGGTGTCGTAGGACCTACGGCAGGTTCGGAATCCGAGAACAGGTTCGAGTCGCGGTGCGAAGTCCCACAGAGGCTCTCTAGATGGCGAGCACGGAATTCCGGCAGTGCTGTGTTTGCCGCGAGCCGTTCCGCCGATAGAATGGCCGGAGAAGCAAGGGAATATTCCGCATTAGCAAGAAGAGTAGCAGCAGCAGCAGCAGCGTCGTCCTAGTGGCTCTCCAGTTGGGAGGAGACACTGTGATGCGTCGACGAACGTGAATTCCTCCCGGAACAGCTATCATGAGCGGTTGTTCTTGTTGATGGAGTGATCAGCAATGTATCTTTGGCGAACCTGTTTCTACCATACCCTGATCGCATGGCTTCTGTTGGAGCTGCTGCTGCTGCAGGCATACATTGTTTCGTGTGTGAGTACGGATGATGATACTACCGAGGATAATCATATACGCTACTTCGAAACCATCGCTCTATCCGATATTCGGACGAGACATCTCTCGAAGAGGGAGATCCAGAGAAGCGGCGCAAGCAAAGAAGTCAGCTTCCGCGCGCTCGGCCGCAGTTTTCAGCTGATACTCTCCCCGACAAAAGGATTGCTCTCAGCTCAGTTCAAGGCGTACACAGTTGACCGGACCGGAGCTCGAAAACCCGTGTGGGTGGATAATTCACAGTTTTTCGAAGGAAAACTCCTAGGTGAGGTCGACTCAAATGTGAGTGCGCACATCGACGACGGGGTTCTTACCGCGTCCATTCGACTGCCGACCGATGTGTACATAGTAGAGCCTTCATGGCGTCATGCAGAAGCGCTCAAACATCCCGATTTCCGGGAGACGGCTCGAGACGATCTCACCAATACCACCAACATGATCGTCTACCGCGCTTCGGACGTAGACTACGGCTGGGATCGGGGAGACCCCTCGCGTTTCTGTGGGGCCATCCACGAGAACGCCACATCGACCATGGGCCGAGTGTTCGGCAAGAGAGATCTCATCCAAGAAGGTCCCGAGGGAGATCCGGTCGTTGGGGAGCCCTTGCGTCAGTACGAACCCACGCAGACCCGGTGCTCCCTGTTGCTGGTGGCCGATCACAAGTTCTACGAGAACATGGGCGGCAAGAGTCAGAAAGGAACGATCAATTTCATCATCTCGCTCATCGACCGAGTCAACAAGATATTCCTCGACACCGAATGGAAGGACAATGAACGACAGCAAGGTTTTCGCGGGATGGGCTTCGTCATACAAGAGGTTCTGGTGCATACGGAGCCAACGCCCGTAGTCAACGGCCAGGAACACTACAACATGCCGGGGAAAAACTGGAATGTTCGTGAACTCCTCGAAGTTTTCTCGCGATCTGAAAACCATCGTTGGTTCTGTCTTGCTCATCTATTCACTGATCAGAAATTCGAAGGAGGGATCCTCGGCTTGGCGTACGTCGGCTCGCCCAGGAAAAACTCCGTAGGCGGAATCTGCAGTCCAGGATACGTTAAAAATGGCCACACACTCTATCTGAACTCTGGTCTGAGTACGTCGCGCAATCACTACGGTCATCGGGTGATAACTCGAGAGGCCGACCTCGTCACCGCGCACGAGTTTGGACACAATTGGGGAAGTGAGCACGATCCTGACCTCCCTGAATGCAGTCCCGACTCCCAGAAAGGCGGATCTTATCTCATGTATACATATTCGGTGTCCGGCTACGACGCCAACAACAAACGTTTTTCACCGTGCAGCGTCCGTTCCATCCGGGCGGTGCTGCTTGCCAAAGCCGGAAAATGTTTCTCGAAGCCCGAGGAGAGCTTCTGCGGGAACTTGTTGGTCGAAGAGGGCGAAGAATGCGACGCGGGCTTGGGCGCCTCGTCCGATAGGAGCGACCCATGCTGCACGGCTCAGTGTAAACTCAAAGCTGGTGCCAAATGCAGCGATAGGAATTCGCCCTGCTGCCGGGACTGTCAATATATGGAAGTGGGCAACCTTTGTCGGGAGGCAATGCCGAACGCCTGCAAGAAAGAGGCGTTCTGTTCGGGTGAGAGCGCCGAATGTCCGCCATCGAAACCCCAGGAGGACGATTCCGCTTGCCTGGACCGGGGCAAATGCCGAGCGGGTGAATGTCTTCCGTATTGTGAAACTCTGGGACAAATCTCATGCATGTGTGATAATGAATTAGACGCGTGCAAACGCTGCTGTCGGCAACATCAGAACTCGACGTGCCATCCGGTGGAGCCGATCGAAATCCTTCACGACGGCACGCCGTGCATTCACGGCTTCTGTGAGGAGGGCTCTTGCAAAAAAACGGTTCAAGATATCGTTGAACGCTTCTGGGACATAATCGAAGACATCGACATCAATACGGTGCTGAAATTCCTCCACGACAATATTGTTAGCCTCGTTTTGCTACTTGTTACAGTTCTATGGATACCGGTGTCGTGCCTGATCAGCTACGCGGATCGGAAACGATACCGCCAGATGCAAGAATGGGCGAAGAGTCGCGAGCCGGCCTCCGAGAAGAAACAGCCCTTCTCTCTACCGGAAGACACGAATATAAAAGTGATCAAGATTCCCAAAAACATCAAAGTTATCTCGATGCAGACACGCGTTTCGGCCCCAACCAACGCCGCCTCCGGTACTTTGGATCGTCGGAACAGCAACTCGTCGTCCACATCGTCGTCGGCGATCCTGCTGCCACAAACTCGTCAGTGGAATCAGGCGGTTCGAACGACTGTAATTCCGGCACCTCTTCAGATGCAACATCAACAAATGAGGATCGGCGTATCGCCCCAATGCTGCGTGATGGAGCCGAATGTTTCTTCACCCCCGGCGTATGTTCCTCCGTCGGCGTATTTCCCGGCGAAATGCGACATTTCCTTCTTGCCATCGGGGGTGCGTGAAAGACGACGTGAGCCACCGACAATGACTACGACGGCGGCTCCTTCGGCCGTCAAACAACCACGTTATCTGCAGCAGGCCGTCGAATCGAGAGCGATGGCAAGTGCTGCGGCAGCGACGGCTACACCGCAGTACGAGATGCACAACATGCACGTCGCTTATCCTTATGGAGCGAACAATCCCACTCCTCTCGGAGGCCACTTGAGTCCTCGCTATCAAGTCATGATGGGAGCTCCGGAATTGGACTACGCGAGTGTCTACGGAGCGACCAGAGCTCCACGGAATCACCACGGTATGCACGGCCAGCAACAAGATAGAAGCGACTATCTCTAGTCCCGAAGATGAATTTCCCCGTTATTCCAATTTAGGAGACGTGTGTTTTTACTTGACTCTGCCTGATTATCGTCGGAACGCAGACGTCGCCGATTTCGCAGACTCAGTATTGTGGAATTTAGGTAGGAGGGCTCGTTCTTTGAATGTTCCTCAACAATTCCTACGGTGGATGTAAATACCCAGAATTGTACAGTAATAGACTAGTGATTCGATGACATGGTTCTGACCGAGAGATGAACTCCATGAGCGCCATAAGATAAATGACATGGGGCGAAGATTTGCTGTGCAATTGTTAGTGATGCTCGTCGACTCCGGCGAAAGCTAACATGGGAAACGATCTTTGCTCGACCCGCGATAGACCTCCTGGCCCGGATAGCCTTCCCTCCCAAGCGACGCGGATCCTCCATTCTCTTCTCAGAAGTTTGCTGCGGAGAGAAATCGTCGACTTGCGGAGCAGGTTTTGTAAAATTTCGCCTGCGTCGGTATTGCATCGGATCGTTGGGCTTCATTCGAGAAAATGATGGGCAGCCAGCGGGGGACACACATGACTGTACAAATGACATTAGAGACCTCTTGGAATGTATAAAGCAACCGAAACTTCTGTATCCAGTTGTAGTTGAAGCATTTCGGGAAATAACGATTGAGATTATACCTAGAAACGATTCCAAGTTTGTCAATAAAAGAAAAGTCACTTTTGCTCAAGTCATTAGGTTTTCCTCTCTCTCCCCCGGACGGGACCCAAAACAGGTCTTCCAGGCTCTGGTCGCGCTTGAGGCGAGCGCGAGACGCCGGAGAAACATGGTAGACGTCAATGAACTGAGGAGTTGCATTCGCATCGCCACCTGTTGTGAATAAGTTTGAGCGAGTGCCTTGACCGTTCCGCGTACACCCCGCCCTAGCTTCGTGGATCGGGGATTCGGCTCGTACAAGCGCTATACGATAGACGATCCTCGGAGCTTTTGTAAATACGCAGAAGCATTCAGAGAGTAGTTCCTAAGCTTCGCAGCTAGCTAGTGGTCTACGCGTGGAGGCCAACGCAAATGAGTCATCAGGACCCGGCTAACGGAACGTATTATGCCTATTTTGAGCCGTTCTTGGCCTCACTCACCATAACACAGAAGCACTGAGCGTCTGGTTCTGAGCAACAGATAAGAAAAATCGCTCGGGAGCATTCGTGACATGAAGATTCAGGCAGTCAGACCGGGAAATCTCCCTCCGAAGTATACAAGATCGAGACACCCGTCCCCCAACGACATGCTGACGAGGCGCGTCGATCTGTCAAGTTCTTGAATTCGCTCTTCTCTGCGTCGAATACCGAGTCCAGATAAGAGTTAGCCATGTGCAGAAGATTGGCTCGAGGATGTTCCCCATCAATCCGCTGTGATGCGACCTGAGCCCGGTCGATCACGGCTCCCTGGGTAGATCCAACACTCACCGATCAATCCAGAAGGTCCAGCGAGTATTCAGAGGAATCGCCACCTCGTTTTCAAGTTTCACTCCTCCGTCGATGTAAGCCATCTCGAAAGATTCCGGTGATGAATAGAGCTGTCGCAGAGTAATGCTGATACTTCTCGTGAAAGTTACTATGAGAGACCACTAGGAGCAACGAGGGAAGGGTCAGGCAGTCACAATGCTCAGAGCAGTCGTGCTCGCGTGTCTTATCTTCCCGAAGCGCGCGACGACGTCGCGTCCTCGCTGCCAGAGGGCGCTATGGCTGCCAAGCCACGGCAGCATAATCCGCCGACCAACTACGTCGCGTCGTCATCGCCGAACAGCTCGAACTTGTCGAACGGCATCAGGCTATGGATGACTCTGCTTCCAGCGTCTAGAAATTATCGATTGAGTGGATGTTTGCTCGGAATCATGTGCGAATGTCAAATTCTTCTAGTCCAATCCGGAGTCCATGAATTTCATTGGTCTCTCAGAGAGAATAGGAAGCTGGCGATGCTATCGCTCGGCCTCCGCTCCGGGTGAGCGGAGCTCAAGCCCGGTTCCACTTCGAGACGCTTCTTTCGATTTGAGTGAACGCCGTGTGCGTATTCCCATCCTGTCTTCGGAAGGGGGAAGGGGGGGGGAAATCTGACCTCGTTCAGAGTAGAGAACATGCTCGGAAGAATGGGCGCAGCGGAGGAGGAGGGGTCGAGAATTCCAGAGGACGCGGACAAAAATTGTTGACTCCTTCTGTCGGGGGAGCGCGATAAAACGGCGCGACCAAAACGGTGCGGCCTACACAACGCGACCAAAACGGCGCGGCCAAGACGGCGCAGCCCATATGGCCGCGGCCCTTATGGCACGCCCGGAAGGCAGCGCTACGCGAACGTTGGGCGCCATCATGGGCTGCGCCCATGAGGGCCTACGGACCTAAACCGACTCGATATAGTGGAACTGCTCCGAGAAGCGTCGAATTGCCTCTCTCAGAAAAATCCTCCATATACAGTGCCGAGAACTCCGAGCATTTCAGGCCGCGCCGTTATGTCGTACATCCGATCCTGCGAACATGTAGACGGAAACGGAGCGAGCCTTCTGCAGATTTCAGCCCTATCCATGGGGTATCGGATGCTGTTGGTTATTGGTTAGCTCTGGCAGAGAGCAACCATAGGAGCGACTCGGAATTTACATCTCGTATCCTGGACCGTGCATAATACGAATATGTTGACTGTAGCTCGATATTGTGACGACGCATAGCAGTACTTCTTATCAGAAGAGTCGATGCTTGGGGGATTCAGAGTCTGCAGAGCACCAAACGGAGAATTCGCGCGGCTCGTTTAGGAGTTCCGAAGTCGCGGTGGCACCTTCCGAACTTGGAGCGAATCGATGTCAATGGCTCTTGATGTCACGACTCGAGCTTCACTCAAGGGTTCCGTACTCCCGGGAGCCGACTCTCTTCTTCCGGCGATGTAGATGGCCCGACGGCCAACGAATCTCAACTGAGATTGTGTTTTGAGGTCTCTCCCATCGTCGGCTTCGATCGCGTTTCCGATCTGATCGCGAAATCGGGCGATGGTGCAATGATCAATCAACTCGGAACTCGCCGCCCTCCTTATCCTCAGGTATAGCTCAATTCAACTTGCGGGCTCTCCCGAGGATCAGTCTCTGTCAGCTGAACTCTGCTCCAAATCTCCCCGGGACCTTCAAATGTGAGTGCTCACGCGTATTGACCATTCATTACACGGCGAGGTTTCGCTCTTTTTCTTTGATCGAAAAAAACATTCACTCCATTCTTAGTTTGACTGAAATTATGCACACTTGAGAGGATTAGGTGGAACGGGGAGGGGGCGCTGGAGCGGAAAGTATTTGGGATGGATAATGTTGTCCTGCATCGCGATAGTCTATCGGTAAGGAACAGCCAGAGGAATCGGAGTCTGCCCTTAGCATGGGGAGCAGAAGTTCTTTGAGCTTTCTCTCGGACAGGGTTCGTGAGTCTGTGAGCTCACTCGGAGGACAGTTTCCAATGGCGGCGGTCTTTACATACAGGGAGTCACGGCCGGTTCGGGTCGTTGTAGATCCGAACTTGATTGTTCTGTCGTTTGGAATTCTCGTCTGTGTCGCGGTTTCGAGCACTTTCATGTCGATGATCAGGGGGACAGGCTCATTCAACTGCCGATGTAGGGACAGACCGATGCAGTGGTTGAGAGACGTTGACAGAGGCCACAGGCCAAACTTCTCCATCATTTTCGGGCGGTTCGCTGAGGGCGTGTGGCCAAGAATGCTCGTTTCCAAGCCGTGAACACTATTTCAGTGCTGGAATTTCAGCAGCTTCGATTTTCTTCCAGTCCCCCGATTCTTGATTTCTCCAATATCGATTCCCCGGTTATTGCCCGTTCTCCCGAATATTTGCTTGCTGGCTTGACGGCGCCCCACGAACTGCGCTGAAAAAGTCCCATGATGCGATGTGAGAGACGCCACTATTCAGGGAAACATATGCAGACTTCACCGAAAGTCTCTAGTAATTGTTCGCAGCAGGGGTCTCGAGACCGGAGCGTTCTCTCCCGAACGCCGTCTCGCGCACTCTTCTCTGGCGGCTAGAAATGAGAGACTGCTGGCATTCCGATTCCAGAACAACGAAAAGGAAAACGCAGTAGGAATCTGTCCGCTCTCGGGAGAGTCCGGGGAGAGGAAGTTCAGCGCAGGAGCTTGCAAAACGTAAAACGATAGATCGCAAACCTATACTCTCACTGGAGATGTGAAGATTCCGTCGCTGAACCATAAACGACGGAAGCGAACAAAACAACTGTGTGAAATCTGTTCGAATCTTTGAAGGGCAGAGTTGCCGCAGCGATTCGCGCGAACAGAATGTCTCCCAGATATTCAGCTCTCGTCATGTTTCGACGGTTTTTCTGCGATAAAGGTCCTCGTAAATTCAAGAACTTCTCTGAACTGAATCAGGGCACGAGCGAGGTGAGTTTAGGTTGGTCTAGGGAGAGAGCCTCTCACTAAACTCCTCCTGAGCCTCGCTGGATGAAAGCCGGATTCCGAATCCTGCGACGACTCTCCAGAATTGGGTGATCCGTGACTCTCCGAACTCTCACTCGGATGATAAATGCCGAGAATCCATGCTCATGGAGATTTCCCGGACGTGACAAGCGTATCTACTTACGAACGGTTCAGCTTCTGGGCAGATACTCGAAGAGCCGGAGCAATAATTATATTATTGGACGCCATAGACATGATGTTCTCCCACTTCTACGTGGGAGACGAAAGTCAGCTGATGGAGCATCTCCAATCGAAAGCGATATCGAGGAGTCGGATTCGGGGTATTAGAGGGAAATTGGACAGTGAGGGGGCTTCCCCCTCAAATGATGCAGCCTTCATTATCTCGCTCTACAACTTTCGCTGGTATAATACCAAATGCTGCTCCTCTTCCGAGTTTGAAGATGACGCTCTCGATCATCCTTACAGAGAGCAGCCGTTCCAAAAGTGGCGAAGGTTCAATCAGTGCAGACACCTCCAGAAAGAGCAGCCTCCCCAGCTTCAGCGACACCATCGACCAATTCGAACCGTGCTGCTGGGGACGCTTACCTCGTGCCGGAATTTTCCCAGCACAATGAATATTCTTTCTACGACCTCAACACAGATATGTCGGCCTCCAGAATAGGTCAGCCGAGAGCTGATAGAAAGTGATAGTCATAAAAAACTTGCCCTGCACACGTATCGAATGGATACGTAGGTCCCGCTGAATAAATTCGAAGTTTTCAAAGACTCTCTCCCGTATATTCTTTGACGTCTCCGAACAGAGCTCGAAGTGATCCATGATTCTCGCATGGGGAATGACTCCGATCGGCTTGAATCGACGAGATCATCCTGAACAGGGGCAGCGGAATACTCGCGCTTCAACAAGTATACAAATATCTCCCTTTATTTTCAAAACTTCCAAGATGTGATATCATCTCACAATGTGGAAATTTATTTCTAGGCAATGACTCGATATATTACAGTTTCCCAGAGGAAATTGTCATACATGAATGTCCTTCATTCAAAGCAAGCCCCATTCCCATCCTTCCACAGGCACACTCGAACCGTTTCGTTAGCTTAAAACAATTTCACGGGAACCTCTTCGTTCGGTATCTATTCTTCCTGCCCTCGTTCCGCCGTCATATTCTAACAGGAATTTTGCCAGCCGTCAACTACTCCCCCATGCCTGATCATCAATCACGGATACCGTCTCAAGCTTGCCTCACCCCGTCGCTTCCCAGAGGCTCCCAGTAAGTATCTATGTACAATTTTACAACCCTTTTGACGAACCCGTCGTTCGTTCACCCACTCAGGGGTGAAAAACTCCGAGAGCGGTCATGGGCACTTATAACAATGATGATGATGATCGACTCGGTCTCAGTTGAGATAACCTCGGCACTGAGGTGTTCCGCAAAGACAGGTGATTTTAACTTCCTCGCGAGGGAATTTGTAATCGTAGGTTATCTCCTCGTTGACGCTTATATCTCTTTTCGAATATATGACGATTTTCTTCTGACCTTCGACCGTGATGACCCTCGCATAACAGTTCGGGTTGCAACTGTGATTGATGAAACGTGCAAGATTGCCACACTTCGTCGCGTCGATAATCGTTTCGTGGTCCACTCGGAACAAATACGATGATCCGATGCCAACCTTGGTATACTGCACTTCTCGGCTGTCGGCGACACTGCAACGTACGCTCTGGCCGACGTACTCGATGACCATTTCGTCGGCAGCAATGGGTTCGAGCGCGAAGAGGCCCCAGTCGTGGATGGTCGACTTGGCGAACTTGAGCTGCTTTTTGCGGAATTTCAGCTGATTGAACTTGAGGAGGTCCGATACGACTTCGGTCTCTTGGAAGATCGTCAGCAGTCGACGTTGGTTTGATCGAGCTTCCCTGGACATTTGCGAAGCAGCAACCACGGGTTTGTTGCTCTTTCCGTCCTGGGCCTCCTGAGTTTGTACATGCGACGCCTTGTATTGCTGCTTCTCTTGTGAATCGACCTTGTAGAAACTGAAAATCGATTAAAAATTGTCAGGGAGGATTACTACGAGATCATGATTTTCCGAAATGCCAAACTTCACAAGGTTTCGAAATCAGGGGAATTACCCTTCGGATCGTGCGCATCCCGTAGCGTGTACCCGTCGGATGTCCTTCTTGCGTTTTATGAAGTCTGGGATATTGGTCGGCACGTGATCCACCCAATGAGTGTCACTGAGCCACGCGCCGTTCTTCTCATCCTGCAGCAGCATGTCGTAGGTCCGCTTGAGGTATTGGACGTCTTCTGCATCGATACCTGGGATCATTATCATTATTATTATGAATCATTATCGACGAAAGAATGGCGCGAGGACCGCAAAGGTCCAGAAGCCAGGAACCCCTTCCACCCTTTCCCTAAAATTCTCTCGCTGACCTTTTCTGAGACAGAGGTTGAGGATCTCCTCTTCGTCGAGATCAGATCGAGGCGAGAAACCACTCTCAGCGGTTTTCGCCGCCTTCCGAGGCTTCGGCGTCTCGTGCGCTGAGTCGAATAGAGCCGTAAGTTCTCTGAGTGAAGCTTCTTGCTTCGTTTTTTTCTTGGGTTCTCGTTTTTTCTTCACTGGTTCTGCATCCTTCGGGAGGCAATAACTATGATCAATGTACACGGGGTCGTTTTCCTTTTGGGCATCCAGAGCCTCGGGCTCCTGGGGCTGATCGAGTATTTCCCGAGGCGATTCTTTTGCAGTCTTCTTGGCTCTCTTCTTCGGTACTGTGGGTTCTGGAGTTTTCGCGCCCGCTTCCGGGGTCCCGTCGGGCGCGCCGGCGACATTGAGCTCATCGGTGAATCTGACCCCTTTCTTGACGTGGGAAACGCTTTCGTCAGCCACCACGGGCTCACTGTCGTCCATGACCTTCACCGACTCCTTGGCTGGCGAGAAGCTTTCGGAGTTCTCGGCAGGCCCGGCCGAGTCCCCGTCATACGCGGGCTCTTCTTTCGGTTTTGGTGGCGAAGCCGTGACTGAGATTGTGTCGTCATCCTCTCCGGACTCTGAGTCCGTGAACACGTTATTGACCGAGAGGACTTCCTTCTTTCTTTGCGCAGATTTCTTATCTCCGAGGATGTCGATGGAGCTCTCGTCGATGTTCAAAGCCGAATCGTCCTTTCGGCCCCACTCGGCTTCATCCTCAGACGATGACGAGGAGTAGATTTCTGCGGGGGAAGAATAAAGTGTGAAAACAGACGAATCTCAGGATAGAATTAGTCGCAAGAAAAATATGCTGCTACGAACCTTTGACGGACACTTTCTTCTTGGCGCGTTTTGTGACCTCGCCATCGCTGAGATCATCACTAGTTGAGATATCGCTACAGTTCTCATCGATTTGGGAAGAAGTTGGTACTTTGCGAGAAGCATGCGATTCTTCATCGGCGCTCTCGCTGCTACTCTCCTCCGAGCTCGTATCGCTCCGTCGACGCTTCTTGCGCGACGCGAGCTGGCGCCGCTGCGATCGAGACGTACTGGGAACATCTTGATGGGTGGATAACTCTCCTTCTGATATCGACTCGAGTCGATCAGAATCATCTTGATTTTCATCGCGCATCGGGGGCGGAGGACGGGCCCTACGGAACGAAGGCATTTTCGGTAGCGCCATCCGTAGCGAGCCGAGGCCGCATTCGTCAGTATTGGAGCTGAACAATGTCGACAGGGTTGGCGCAGCAACTTCGGCCGGCTTGGTCGCTGTAGAAACGACTTCTTTCGGTGTTTCGATGTTCTCCTTCTCCCGATTAGCGTTCTCGTTCCACCACTGGTCGTAGGTGGCGAAAGCGCTCATTTCGATCATTTTCTTGGTGATGTCACGCCGCATGATTTGTTTGAGCTCCGACAGCAGCAGGTTGAGCACCTTGTTAATTGTTGGATCGTCATCGTCCAGAGAAACGTTCGGTTGACCAGCAGGCCACATGGGAGCATACTGCTCATGATTCGAGGAAAGGGGATGCGCTACTGTTGCGTGATTATATGGCGATGGAGGCGGGGGGCCACCCGCCGGTGGGTACTGCACGTAGCCACCGGGGTATCTATACGGTGCCGCCGCCGCCGCAGCGGCAACGGCTGCGGCATTCGAGAGAGACGGTGGAGGTATACTGTACGACGGCGTTCCAGCCGACGTCGTTGGCTGCGCATACATCGGATAGTTGAGAACGTAAGGGGGCTGGGCGCCGGCGGGGACCGCCACCTGGGTGTTCGGTAGCGAGTTCTTCGCCTCGTCGGCCTCCCCGGAACTGAGTGGACTCAAACTCATCTGGTCGTCGTCGGGCAGCGAGCTCTCCGATAAAGATTCAGCCCCCGACAATTTCGGGAGCTTCTCATCGTATACTGGAGTGGAATCGTTCTCCGAGCTAGTGATCTCCGATGCTGAAGAAGAGCTGTGCCACTGATCGAGGCGATTCTCCTGAGAGGGAAAGACGGAAATTCAGCACGCGAACACAAACCCTCTCGGAGGAGCCTCAATCAGACTGCTTGTCATCCTCATCATGATAATGATATGAGAATTATTATTTAGTATAGACACTGGGAGCGGCTGGATTCGATCGAACTTAAGCAATGCGTCCACAAACCTTTCGCAATCGGGTGTATCGCTGCCATTTCTGATACATTCGTTTGTTCCTAAACGGAGATGGAGGCGGTGTGCTGGGCGGTACTTTTTTGGTAGGAGGTGGAGGCGGTACTTGAGGCGGTGGTTGCTGCGGGAGTTTGCTATTCGATTTACCTCCTTTATTGAACAACATCTCTATACGACTCTCGAGTGACTGTCGTTGATCGGTCGTAGGAGGACGCGAATATTTCGTCGATCGCTCGTAAGGTCTGTAAGGCGAACATAGGTTCCGATATCCGTTCATGAGAAAGCCGTCCCCATGTGCGACCGCCTGGTCGAAGGAGCGTCGAGAATCTTACCGTTCTGGAGAACTAGATGGGGATCTCTTGAACCTCCCTGTGAGTAGATCTTTACTCGCTGCGAACGGTAGAGGTCTCTGCGCCACAGATGGAGTCGAAACGGTAGATGCTTCTGGCACTGTCGTGGTGGCCGGCGTTTGCTGTAGCTGGGTGGACGCTGCCGTCACAGGGGGCACTCGGCGTTCGCTTGTCTGTTCTTCGACTAGCTCCTTACACCGTTTCCGGAATGGATCGAAGAAAACGTTGAGCACTTTGCCCATGAGGGTATTATTGTGCATCTTGTGCACGCACAGGTGCGCGGCTTTGGTGTTAGAAAACATGACTCTCGCGATTCCTAGATGCTTCCGCGTTCTCGGATGGTAAAAAACTTCGAGTTCCTCAATCGTTCCATAATGTTTGCGCAAATGATCTTCGAGGAACTGTGTGTTGGCGTTGTCATTCAGGTTGGTCATCGTCACTTCGATCGCCGGCGGGACCCCCACGTAGTGATCGTCTATGGTGAATCTTGGTACGAGGAGCTCAAGCGCCTTCCCTCGAGCTGCGGAGGATAACGGTGGGTCAGTCAAGGACTACAAAATAGCCTATAGCCGCTAAGAGGAGTCTCTCTCGCTCGTGAGACTTCGGCGCGGAAATCAGTCGGTTGTCGAAAAGCCGGGAGCGAGAACAGCACCGTCTCTGTCATTGATCATTCGTCCACAAGCCGGAGGAACTTCGAGCTCGCTCCCGTTCGTATGACGGACCTGTCGAGAAAACAGCTCTCATTCGTGACTTACTCCAGAAGAAGGATTTCGTCCGTGGGTCCCGCGGAATGATCGGCGACTCCGTGCTTGCGACGGTCCCGTCATATCGGATCACTTTCTGGTGGACTTTTTCCAGAGCGGGGTCTTTCATCAATTTGAACGCCGAGTAATGAGACGGACCTCGGCCTTTCGAAGGGTCCATTGTGGGGCGTCGAAGATCTGCGGGCGAGATCAGAACGTTCGTCAGTGAGCGCAATGGTTGTCGCCGACTTTGAGACTTGCTCCTAAATTGCTTCGGAGCGAGGATTGCGGCCGATCGCCCGTCGAACGAGCGATCGGGTAGCTGAGGTTCCCCCGCTGAATTTCCAGCACGGTCTCGCAGCTGCTGAGATCAAAAAACGAAATCATACTACTTTCGAATGGGGACATTCGAAAAAAAGCTAATTGGGCGGCAAGAGAGCTCGGTGATTTTTCTCCTCAAGCCGCTGCGCCGATGCGATCTGGATACTGAAAAACAGAGTGGGGCTTAGTTCCTTGAGGATACTAACTCTGCTCCGGCGAATACTTCACGTCATTTTCTGTCGAGAGAAGAATCGCTGAGCTTCGTGGTAGTAAACACACGCATACAAAATAGAGAGGTGATGGCATCATCAAACCGCTCTTAGCTGCACCCGGAAGTCGCTCGCGGCCGGCGCGGACGGAGCAGTCGACGACGTCGACCCGGACCACAAAACGTACATCTGAAGGACTAATCCCGAGGAATCACTCTGATGAGCCGTCACACGAGAAGACGAGCCAGATAGCTGGACGCTCTCGTGGAGCGCCTCAAGAAGAACTTCCAGACCCGACTTCTCCCCCCTAGAAGTCTGATGAGTCGCTCGTCCCAAGACAAAACCTTCGTTGTTCGTGGTCGAGGCGCTGTTTTGCGATCAAGTACGCGACGACAACGACAGGTATGAGGGAGAAACTCCTGAGGCGAATGTTCGCTGCTTGCGGGGAGAGTTGATCGAACGGAATGAGATTTCCCAGACCTGGATTGCTCCTAGATGCGGGCCTAGTGCTTCCCGTACAGTGCCGGTCGACCGGCAACGATGCTCAGCGGTCGCCCTGCTCGCTCGAAGACTGCGACGAACGACGAATAGTCTGACGATCCCCGGAACTCTACCGAACCCAAGTCCGGGACTGCCCTCCCGGAGACAGACTACGAGCTTCCGATGATTCATGTCGGCATCCGGGTGCGCGTGATTTGTTTCGACCACACTGCTGTTCGAGTGCGCCCGTCAACAACCTAGTGTGTTTTTGTGTACGGTGATCGTCTACTCGGCTGCCTACTTGCTGCTGCTGCTTCCATAGCCGACTTTCTGAACATAACCGACGATCGACAGCGCTTATCGTCCCATGACATTTTGATCGCCTATCTGAGCCTTTGCTTCGGTGTTGTCGGACTGCTACGTTCTATTCGAGCTCATCTCGAGCTTCGATCCGACTGCGTATGCTTTTTGGGAGGTATTCGGCAAAGATATGGCGCTTAGTGATGAGGACCTCAGGCACCGGCTCACCGAACTGGGTTGCGATGTGGGACCCATCGACGACACAACGAGGCCTTTATATGTTTCCCTTCTGAAAAGGTGGGTACCTCGTTTCGTGGTTGCCGGATCCGCTTAGAGTGTTGGTACCGAACGTCTGAATGACGGGTGAGCATTCCGGCCTCCGCTCGTTGAGGAAAGGCCTTTTGAGAAACTCGACGAGATTCTCTGCTTATGGCTAGATTCGTTTTCTTAGGCGTGAGGGCGACGCGAAGCCTGCGCGACAAGGTCGTTCATCCACGGCTCCAACGTCCAAGAATCGAGTTCGGAATCGCTCGACGGCTTCATCCCGAACCGATGGAAGTCCGGTCCCGGCAGCCTCTCCTAGGAGAAGCGTTTCTCCGAAAAAAAATCCAGTGCCAACCACAAGCCGCAAGAAACGAGACACCAGTCCACGGGTGCCGAGCTGTGAGTTCTCGCCGTGATTCAACATTTGATTCGACTTTATATCCCCTCTCGCTTATTTCCGATCTAAATTATCTGTGATGGCGAAAATCGTCGAGTCTTATCCTTCCATTCCGGCGAGAGATTTCACTCAGGATCCTCGATTTTCGAAGCCTCGAATGCGTCATCTCTCGCCGTGGGATGACGTCTCATGTTCACTCTTCTGTGATTCCACACGCTCTTGCCGTCTCGATTCATTACCATTCCGCACGTTCAGCGTCGAATTTTTTGCAGCGTCGTCAACAATGTACATCTCATCACAGACCCAGTTCCAAGAGGATTTGGGACTGTTCTCGACTGGTCTTTCACCAGTGAGGCCGCAGCCATCGCAGACCCAGAATCTGGCGGGAAACAAGTACACGAGGAGACCGCTGCATCCGCCCGACTATAATTATTCCGCATCGAATGGCTTCAGCGATGACGAATCCGAATATCGATACAGACCGTCGAGTTCGAGACACAATGGGTCCCCCTATGGTGAGCTCGATCGGTTGCTTCGAGTGGAGGACTGAAACATCGACTCGGTGAATTGCTCTCCCGTGATTCGACTCCTCCGAATCTTATGTATTCTTTTTCCGCAGTCTCCCAAACACACGGCGGCAATAGCTCTTCGCGCAGCAGACGTCACGCATCGTCAGCCGTAGGCAGCGCTCCGTCGCATCCTATTCCGAAACTCCTCGTCGGCGTGACAGCTTTATTCTTCTGTGGTCTGGCTGTTCTGTACTTCCGCCAGGTCAGTTCGGCCGACCCAACCGAAATCCTAGATGACAGGTCCTCCTTCAAGCACGCCCTATGCTCACAAGGGCGAACAGCCGAGGTTGGGTACGACTGCATTGAAGAAGACATTCTGCAAGAATCGCTGGATTCAGCGAGGAAGATCCAGGGTTTCTTAGCACAAGAGAACTTCGAGAAATTTTGTGGCAATGGGGGTGAGCGCTTGGATTCCACCGGTGGCCTGACGTATGCGGAAGCTGAAAGAGTTATCGCCCAGAAAGCGGTCAGTATCTTCCTTATCTCTCCGAATGCGATCGAAAGGAAAGCGCTCGATACATGCTTCAATTTCCTCGATCCTGTGCAGCACGGGAATTCCCTGACTCCTCACGAGAGAATTCTCTTCTTTCCAGAATGTCTTCAACGGAATGATATACTTGGTGCAGGAGAATCCTGAGTGGGGGATGCAACTGGGAGAAGGTGAAACGCAGAGCTCGATAAAGCTGCCAGCCTACTCTCCGCCTCTCTTCTGCCAACTGCAAAGAGCAGTAATGCAGATTCTCTACCAGACTCTGCTACTGGTGTTCGTTCTGATGCTCGTCGTCGCATCGTTCTGGCTTTTCCAGAGGAGGAAACATAATCAGAAGGAGCGAAAAAGGCAGATCAACGGTCTCGTTGAGGACATAACCGAAATGCTCACCAACAACGCCACCGATAATCCGGAGACTCCTTACCTCGCCGTTCGTGCGTAATTTTTCTTCCCTCATTCGTCTCCACCGATCCTCCTCTCCCGGCCTCCGGGGCTCAGAAAAACCTATGGACGCATATACCGAACGGGCTCAGACAGCGAAACTCAACCGAATATTCTTGAAATTTCAGTGGAGATTCGCGACAAGCTGCTCCCTAGCGCAGCGCACAACAAGCACGCGAGGCAACTATGGGCCGAGGTCGAGGCGAAGTTCGAAGCCACGGAAAGTGCGCGAGTTGCCAAAGAGAAACAAAGAATTCGCGGCGAGTGGTTCGTTGTCTGGCGCTGGTTGCGACCCCCTAACGCGAACGGAGGCGGCAAAGTTTGGCAGGGGAAAGCTTTCGATGGCAACCATCGAGTGCAGCCGTTGACGAATTGCCTCAAAATACGAAACATGTTCAATAGCTCAGAAGAGCACGGAGATACTTGGGTACATGACGTGAAGCGAGCTATCGTCAACAATTGCGGCCCTTCTCACGGCATCACTCATGTTCATGTAGCACAGAACTCGGAAGACGGATTAGTTTTTGTTAAGACGACTTCACTGCAAGCAGCAGGAGATGTATATCACAAACTTCACGGCAGTTGGTTCGACGGTCGACTCGTCACCGCGAAGTACTTACGAGAAGAACGCTATCACGAGAAATTTCCGGATTCTATCGGCTGCGTTCGACCGATACAGGTCTCTTAGATGTTCCGCTCGCTTTCCTGCTGCGTGAGATAGTGGCAGGAGTCCGAACGCGATTCTCGAGGGTTCGCCAGAAGGAGATCTTACATGCGTCGGCGACGGTGCACAGATGGATTTTCCCGCTAATATCATCATATCACATTATGAGCTGTGAAGGAATCTGCTCTCGGGAGATTATTCTCATTCTTGTAGTCTCGTTGTACATATGTAATTTACATCGTGGATTCTTGGGGGCTCGCGACGTCTTCGTCTTCAGAGACGAACTTCCCAGTCGAAAGGATTGTCGACTATATTATTGGACTCGTCAAAAAGAGTTTCGGGTGCAAAACTTGTACATGGTAGCAATCTCATCCGATTGAGGGAAAAAAGGTCAGAGTCAAGAACCATGTCGAGCATTTTACACAGGATTCCCGAAGACTATAACAGCACTCACTTTGTCAGAATAAAGTTATCAACTTTCTCCGTTCTCCGATTTTTTATTTGATTTCATTGTTTTCTGTTCTATTGCGGAGGATCCGGGGAAGGAGCTCGCGCGATCGTCCAAGCTCGGAGTGCGGCTCTCAACTCTCGTGGTTGGGCCTGCCGCATCGGGCATCGAGCTCTTCATTGTGGGAGAGAGGGACGGAGTACCCTTTCTCGGTCGAGAAAATCAAAACACGCCGGTGTGTTTTTGGACATGCTCGAGCTAGGAGAGACTTGAATTCTTTGATTTATTCCGCGTCGAGAGTCCCAGTCGTGCTCGGCGTACTCATTTGGCTTACAAACGGATGAGCGGGTATTCTATTGGAAGTCCCTCGTAGAACGTGAATTCTATTGATTCATGGACCACTTCGGCGCCGAGCAGAGAAGCTGAGCAATTAGGATCCAGTGCTCATCCCTTCACGTGCACGATGGTGCGCACCAGACAGCGATACATGCTTTGCAAGCTTGTGCACAAGAGCGGCAACAAGTTTTGTGTCTTCGGACACACGCAGAATGAAGTTGAAGAAGCTGTACGAAACAAAATTCAGAAAATGTACGGTGCGTACGGTGCCGCTATATGCAGAGAAGTCACAGTGAAATATTTGCACGCCGCTTCCGGTGAGTATCTCCCTTATCGCTCGACGACCATATGCTCGGATCTCCAGCAGCTGAGAGACTCGCTTGAGGCCGTAAATCCGATGATCGATCGTCGATCGGCTGTCTATTGTCTATCGACTTTTGACCATCCCCAGGAACAGTGATTCTGAGATTCGCTCCTCCGGGACAACGCATAGTCGGTGGAGCTGTGACAAATACCTCGATTGGGGATTTTCACTTTACAATTTGTCAGGTAAGACGCTGATCAGAACGGACGGCAGATCATCTAGGGAAGAATTCAAGCCCGACGATGACCGTGTAAGATTCCATCTCGATCATTTGGGTGTTCTCCGCGTATTCCAGGTCGCTGGCACAGGTCGCACCGTGACAAAGAAATTGATCCGAATGCTCAAACTCGACATCATTGAAGCCCAGGCTCTATACTCATCCGCGGACCGGGAGAAGTCAGAGAAAAGCCTGTCCGAGCTGATCGGGAAAATCGAATCGGGGGAGTCTGCCATACCTTATTGAGATTTTGTTTCTCGAATCCTACCGATCCCCGCCCGCCTCCGCTGATGCGCATACATTTAAGCGAGCCGCCGTGGTTCCCTGACTAATAAAGCGCGACTGTCCGTGATCGCAAAAGTCTCCAGAAATCTTGAAATTCTCCTCAGAGCATCGGTAGTTGACGTGGAGGCAGGGCAGCGTGCTCAGGTTGAGCATCTCATCCCGCATTCGACGAAATGACCCATCGCGGGGATCTGCCTCGCCTCTCACGCTGCCTCCCAGTTGTATCACTTGGCCCGTCGCGGCGGCTCGCCTGGCATCCCCGAACGTTACCGGGGTCACAGATAACGGGCTCTCGACTACGAAGTCCCATCCATACATTCCCGATCCCGATGGATCCGAGTGTCTGAGATACGGTCGATCCGACTTTCCGAAAATGACAGGGAGACCTGAGATTTGACTCCTCTCTACTGTCGAGTCTGTCTACTGATTGAGCGCTATCGGAATCAGGCCCGATCCATCGGCAGCGAGGATATTTCGACTAATTTGAGCAATCGCTCAATATTTCCGTCGTGAGGTATTCATTGTGTAGCGCGGCCGCAGGCCTAAGCTCCACAGGCTGGTACTGTACATATAAAGTGAGAATGAGATTCTATCTAATATGCCCTCGATGCTCCGAAAACGGGAGAGGCCGGGAAACAGATACAGAGACACCTCAACTCCCATCTAGCCTCGACTTCCTCTGGAGCATCTGAATCGGGTTGTCATGCAGAGCCGGTACAATACTGACGTGAGATATCTCAAACAACGGATTTTCTTAAAGCGATGCGGAAGCTCCAGCCTAATGAGCGCTCATGTTCGAACGAGCGCTTGTATCTCGCTCTTCAGCTCTCTTGTGAGCGCATGGCTCCCATACGTGTTCGCATTTGTCCCGATCCAGAATACATGCGTAATATGTACATTGCCCTAATGCATGATTTCTCTCGGCTCTCGAATCATGGGAATTACTAAATAAAAATACCGTGAGGTTGTTTTCTGGCAGAAAAGTGCTTCTTTATTAGAGATATGAATCTATCTTAGCTCCATCAGCATTCCCGTTAAATGTGGGTCTTGCTACATTTGTCGACCTTCCTTCGATAATGAGGTGAGTAGCGAAACCTGTCGTTGTCCTCAGACATCTAGCGATTCATCGCTCCCGTCTGCAATGAGCTCACGAGTGGCTCATTACTCCGCCATCTAAACCGCGTCGGGGATCGAGTTTATTCAATCCAATGCATACGCATCTCTAAGAGCCATATCAGTTACCATAACAAACGCACTATAAGAGTGTGCGAGGCACAGTACTCAGTCAGTTCGCAATCTCGCTCATCAGTAAGATCCATTCCTGTTACATAAGTTCAGGAAGACCTCGATTCGGACGTATTCCTCATTCGCACTATATACACATAGGGTTATATCGCACCACTGTTTTCCTGCAGACCGCAAGAGAGGAAGAAGCGTGAGATCCGTAGGTGTGAAGAATTGCGGCGCAGCCATCGCGAAAGCTTCCGCAGATCCCAGCATAACGAAGCCGGGGTAATTTACTGGCCGAACGCTCCGGAGCATTCTCTACTCACAATTAGAGACTGACTCCGAATACGTGTCTTCACCGCGACAACTCCGCATTGTATCCGTGGATTCCGACCGGAAATCATAATTAGATACAACGCTCCTGCCGGCCACAGGTGTCCAGAATGAAATACTGGAAGAGACTTGCCTGGTGAATTATACACTGCTCGATTCCCAGCGAGCCATATCATACTGAACACAATGTCTTGGCGAGGAAACTGCCCCGGCAGAGGGTCCTCAGTTCTGGATCGAAGAGCGAGAGTGTGATATCAGCATACTCTAATGACGACCCACTTCGCGGATACCTCGAATGCTCCGTCGGTCATGTTGGTTCCGTGCGCGAGTGAAGAAGAAAATGCTTGCACTGGTTCTTGATTTTGCACCACAATTTCCTGCAGGCATTAAGCGCATCACGATTTTGCTCTAGAGAGAGAAGACGATGTTTTTGACTCCAGACTACACGCACTCCGATGTAGAATAACTTTGTTTCATGAAGAACTCCGATACGATTGCAAGGGAGAGGTCCCACTTGGCAGTTTTTAGCGCTAGGATAACTATGAGATAATTTTTTAACACAGAATACTGATCTACCGAATTAACACGGTTCCTGTCGTGTCCTAGGATCTTCACGCTTCAGATCAGTCTCGGCGGGTCAGTTTTCGTGGGAAACATGGCGACCGAAGAGTACCTCACATGACAGTACTTCTCTGTCGTGGCCTTATGCTGGGAATTCGGTGCGGCGACTAACAGTTTATGCAGGAAGTTGACCACTGTTTTCAAAGTCAACTTGTCTATATCTGCGAATCGTTCGACCTCGTCGGTCCACATGTGCGAACTATTGTTCGTCTGATCCAGAGCGATAAGCAAGGCCCCGGCCGCGATCTCGCTCGGTTTGTACATCAATGAGGAATCTGTCATGAGCGAAAGCTCGCAAATGTATTGAGCCAAGTGTGCGACTCGGCGACTGACTTTCGCCCTCACGGATAGACGGCGGACAAAAGCTAAAGAATGAGCAGCACCGAGAGAAAATCCTAATGTGTTCAGTAGAAGTGCTTCCATCCGGATGATTTGGGAGCCAGTATATGTGTCGTCCGTCACGTAGACATATTGAGCCAGTTCTGGAGGGTAGATCTCCTCGACCTTCGACGCAACAAGCATGGCCGCGGTTCCTACGAGTTGCAATTTGCTCCGCACCACTGACATAACGGAGAGGAACCTGGAAGACATCGGGCTTTTAGATACTCCAGCCTAATGCATGTCTCTAGATTGGGAAGAGCCACGGGAATGTTTGCTCGACGATCTATCGACAAGCAGATGTCGCCGACTTCTGGCTGCATCTCAGGCCTGCGAAGAAAGCGAGTCGGGAAGGAGAGGGGGAGGCAAAATGCGATATTGAGCATGGAGCGCGCGCAAAGCCACTTCGTCCGTTCGAGTATTCGAAATGATTATCCTAGCGAGAATTATTATGATAACACGATTAGAATCACATTCTTCTGATGGAAATCTCGCAGAGCTCGTATTCACGAGCCGGTCGTCGACTCGTATGTTCGGGTGTTCAGCCCCAGCCAAATCGAGAAATAGACTTACCGGTCGATGAAGGAAACTGCGAGAAACAGTGTTTCATCCGACATACCGTACTCTTCGTTGACTTCGACCAACCAGTCTACGAGTACACTACGCATCGTTGACGAAATGTCTCGCTGACGGGACATGTATTCTGGACGAGCTCTAAGTTTAACCTCCAACTCTTTCATGTAAGCAAAATGCGAGTCTCCATATTGTTCTGTGAAAAACTCATCGTCGAACATCTCCTCGTTGATCGTGAGCTCTTCTCTATCTTCCTGTTGAACGCTTTCGGGCATGGGCGACACGACCATGGGCGAGCCCACAGAAGCAGGAGAGAACATGACCTCGTCGAGAACTTTGAGGGGGACCCGTTGAGTCGGGGCTCCGTCCTTTTCGTTTTCGCTCCTTTTCGGCTTCTCGTCTCCCGCCACCGATTTGGGTTTCGCTGCCTCATTGTCCTTTTCCACTACAGCCGCAGGCAGCTCATTAGCTTCACAGTTTTCGTTGGTGGTTTCCTGCGTGGCTTGATTCTCCTTGTCAGAGGCAGCGGCGAGGGGCTTCAATGTCGCGGCAAGCTTCCTTCCCCGATTAGGTGCCGATAAAAGCGCAAGAGGGGCACGCTTGCTGGCCGCATTCGCATTGGACACCTTCTGCGGGACCTGGTTTTCATCGCTGAACACCATGAAACGCCTCTGGGATGCCATGATTCGAGACGGGACGAACTGTTCAAACACTTCACAAACTGTCGAAGATACTTGCGATTGACTGTCTCGATCACGGCGCGAAAACCGTGTTGACGGTGAGACTCCCCGTCATGAACTTCTCACTAACTTCTCGACTCGAGACAGCTCCACAAACAGCCAAACGTCGCCAGCCTTTTCCGAAAAATCCAACGAGCGCCCGGGAGTTTCAAATTCGAAGGGGTGCTGTCTCCTCCTCTCACCGCCGCCGCGGCTGCGGCACCAACGGTCCGGAGCAGACGTCCCGCGAGGCGCCAAGTTCGAAAGAAGCAGACGTCACGAGTCGCCGCGATATTCGTCGAGCGCCACTTCCCAATCCCCTTTCCGCAGTCTCGAGCTCTTCAGAGATGTTTCGGACCCGCCGATAAATGAATCCGAACCCCCCGTGAGGAGACCATTTCTCTCCGATGAAAATATTATGAATCTCACCCATTCAAAATCGTTCCTCGGCGCCACAGCATGAGAAACTCCTCGTCTCCGTAGACGGAGCTCAGCGGCGCTATATCCTGAATCCATCCACGTGCGGCGCCAATCACTTGGTACCACCCCCGAAACGCATCGACCGCTGGCGGACAGTGAACATCTCAAGGAGCCGGCGCTCCGTCAGAGAGCAGCCATACATACAGCCGCTCCTAAGACGACCGATGCACACTGGGAAAACCCTGCAGCAGGATTCTGGGCCAAAAGGTCCGTTCGTCTAAAGCAGCGGTCCCCGATTCCTTCTCGGTGCGGGACCCCCGCCGAAGCCCTCGACTGTGCTCGGGACCCCTTGCGATGTCATTCTAAAAGAGTACTAGCCACTGGCTTCGGCAGACAAAGAATATTTCCCGTTTCCTCACTGAACAAGATCGCTTAGTATAGTAAGAGATTCTGGCGCGTTACAGCTGGTCGATATTCTAGCAAGCTATGTCGAATATATATCCCCCGAGGATCATCATAGCATGAATCAGTTCTACCGACCTTCGGGAACACCGAGAAGGGCAGCCGGGACCCCCTTCCGGGAACCTCTGGTCTCGAGAAGGTGATTGCATGAGATCCGTCCCCGAGAGAGACCATGTAGCGGAGCATCACCCGAGCGCCATATATTCGGTCGTGGGAGAGTCCCAAGTCAGCGCAAGATGAACGTCGACGCGACTTCGGGAAATGTGGGGAGTTCATCACGCTATGCCTGTTCTGGTTACCGAATGCGTCGATCCAGACATCTACACTGTAGAATCTACAGTGTAGATTCTACACGCATGGCTTGACTGCGGGAGGTCGAAGCTCCGATCTCGTCCGGGATCACATCTCGTCTCCAGGCGGAATGCGGGTCGATCTCTTCCCACCATTGGTCTCTAGTCTCCACGCGTGAGGAAGAGGAACGTCCGCGGTATGCTCTGGTCGTACTTAGTCTTTTCTAGCTATCGACGAGCTCGTAAGAGAATCGATTCGAACACTGTATCGATTCCGACGGTCATCTTCCCACAGTGATCCAGGATCCGACCCCGGGGCAACGACCCGGAAGGGCGTGATTCGGATCCCAGCCTGAGGATACTTGGATAATGCTCGAAAACATTCCCCAGAGACCTTTTGGAGAAACACCTCTGCTGCATGGGAGGGGAGGTCGTTCTCAAGCACCGACTCGAGAGCTTACTTCTCGAATATCTCATCATGTCGATGGTGCCTCGTATATAAGGAGGGAATGTCCCACCGGGCTGCACAATAATCTTTGGTATAATGGACTCATCGGTCAGTGACTCACCACCCTGGCACGGCGTCATTCCACAACATGGGCATCTCGATGTGTACCATGTGACATTGAGCTTCGGAACGCCTACAATAGGTATCCCAGTGAGAGACGGAGGTGGTGTCCGATAAGCATGCCATGTCGAGACGGAAGGCGCTTAGAGGACGGGATCCCAGAAGGTCCTCGGGATCTGTCCACACGACTACACGTCCGTCTATACGTTCCTCTGTATGTTTGCATAGATACACCGCATTCCCGTCTCTTCATCTGCTTCAGATGGATCGCCCGTATTGAACCGGAGGTTCTGTAATTTCCCATCTGCATAGCTCTGAGAAGCCCTTCCTTTCCAAGATTTAGGGGGCCAGCTTAGAGTGATTGACCCCTGCTTACCAGACCGAAACGTCGTCATACTGATTGTGAACACGAAAAGTCGGCACGAAGACCTGTACACCCAGATACAAGAAACAATTTCAGTCGCTTGATTTCTTATCTTTACTTCGAAACTGCAACGGGGGTTTTGCTCTCCACGGTCCGTTCTAGCACGCGGCCTGTTCGAACAATGCCTGAGCGCCTCGCTCATCTTGCGTCTCATCGGTCGTCCGCCGGCGTATAGTCACAAAAGTTTAAGTTAACCCGGCGGTCCGAATCCGCGATGCGCCCGAACGCTTTCCGCCCCTACAAGCCGGCGATAGCGAGTTTGCAGCTCACAGAAACTTTCGATTGATCCTGAGAGAAGAAGTCATGAGACTCATCTCACAATGATTGAGGCAGTCTTTTATTATTCGTTCACTAGTTCCTGTCGCGATTGAGCTGCCATCAGATTTCGCAAGTGGTTATAATTATGATATTCCTTAAATACATACAATTCAAGATGTCACACGTTATACAATTCAACCGTCCGGCCAAGGATCGGCGGAGCCGATTGATTGACCGACTGACCGATCGAAGATCGTTCCCTTCCAGAGTATACAAGTCATGTGTCGGTGTGAGAGATCGATTTGAGGTACAACAAGTCAGAACAGGCGCGGAAACAACGATTGGACGGAGCTTTCCTCGACGTCTCAATCAGCAACAATAAGCGGCTTGATTCCCTGCTCTGATCGTTCGGGGCGTCGCTTCCACAAGCTTATTATCCCGGACGATGTAAGTTCTCTTTTCCATTGCCAACTCAGGATAAGAACCTTCTCCTAAAGCGTTTCAACATGAGGAGCCGTCGGTCGCACTGGTAGCAATGATACCGAAGAGTATTTCCGATGAGCGTGCTTGTTGCGTATGGCTCTATGCGGCGAACTATTGGCTTGCAACAGAATTGTTTGGAGGAAATTAACTGCACACTGCATTTGCCTCGAGTCGATTCCCGAAAACTCGTGAATGGCCGGAGTCCATCGCTCGATGGATCCCTCGATGTGGTGGAGGGCCAGCAGGATCGCTGCGGCTGCCAACTCGCTCGGCCGGAAAGCGAGGGATTCGATCTTGAGTAGCGACAACTCGCAGATATACTGCGCCATGTGAGCTATCCGCTTGCTTATTTGAGCCATGATGCCGAAACTTTGGATGAACGTGAGAGCGTGAGCGTTCCCGATGAAGAACTCGAGGTTTTTCAGCAGGAGAGCCTCCATCCGAATTATTTGGGATGCTGTGTAAGTATCATCGGTTATGTAGACCAAGTCTGTGAGTTGCGGCGGGTAAATTTCCTCCACTTTCGCGGCGACCAGGATGGCCGCTGTCCCGACCAGTTGAAGTTTTCCACGGACCACCGACATCATCGATAGAAACCTGAGAGGGGGGAATCATTATGGAATGAGAAACGGACGTTCGATCTGAGTACCTAATCGAGACCAAACATCCATACAAAGGAATGTAAATTCTCCATTCCGCGTTCGGTGTGGACTATGAGGGAGCTCGGTTCTATCTCGGGAGCCCTCCGCTCGATGTTTCGCACTCCCCTCCAATAAAATCCAGAACTCACCTATCGATCAGTGACACAGTCAGGAAAAGGCTCTCATCGGATTGCTGGTACTCCTCATTGACTTCAACGAGCCAGTCGACGAGGACGCTTCTCATGTCGGACGAGATGTCCCTCTGTCGCCGCATGTAATCGTACCGAGGCCGGAGTTTCAGCTCCAAGGATCGGAGGTGAACATAGTGCGTTTCGCCGTACAAATCAGTGAAGTACTGATCGTCGAGAAGTTTGTCTTCATCCTTCTTCGTCGTCTTCTGTAGTGTGTCCCTATCTTCGACCAGTGGCGAAATCGCCATCGGAGATCCAATCATGGACATGGGACGAGGTACTTCGTCAAAAGCGGCGGGACTCGTTTTTGTAGAGAGCTTCCCAAACAGCAGATCACCCAGCATGGATCCCGTCTTGGATTCGGCTTCCGCATTTTCGTTCTCGGCTGCGAGCGACTTCGCTGGTCCTCTGGCGTACAGTGGCTTACGGTCGAAAAAGCCGGGTATATTTTGAGGCTGTAGAGCAAGGCAATTATTTATCTGATGATTGGCGCCCATTTCAGACAAAACTGTAATCGGCGCCCGCTTGCCGCGAAGGTCCGCACTTGGGAAACCACCGAGTACATGATTTTCGTCACTGAAAACATTGATGCGACTCTGGGTGGCCATGGCTCTTGAAGCCGAAAATACTGGAAACTGAACCGTCGCGTCGCTCGCACGATGTATCACAAACAGCTTCGCCTCGCGGATCTTGCAGCAGCACGAGCGCACGTCGTCGTTGCTTCCTCCGGACCGACTGATCTCGACGAGGAGGAGAGCCCACACAACAACCTCAACAACGGACCACTGACCGCGGCATTCAAATTTAAAGCTTTGTCTGAGCTCATGATCACCTGGCGCGCCAAATTCAAAAACCAATGAGGAGGAGCTCGCTTTCTATGGAACTCGGTCCGATATCGCACTGTGATGCTATCTGAGACTTCTACAAGACCATATCCGAGATCCCTGAAATCATCCGCGGAATCTGACGCCGGATTTCGTGTTCGGGTTTCTGTTATTGTTCGAGCGCGGTCGGAGGGGCGGCGCTTCAAGCAGCATGCCGCGCATCGCGCACACATGGTGACTCCGATCTGGCCGTTCTATTTTTCGGCTCCGGAATTCGGGGACTGAAGTCGAGACCTTCCGTAGTCACTATCAAATATCGTTCGATCCCGGCCGACGCTGCAAGTCGGGGGCGACTCAGTCGTGATGAGCAAACATAGAACCTGCTTCGGAATCTCCTTCGGCAACACAAGCCTTTGCATAGCCGTGCAGAAAGTGAGTTGATAATGATCCAGAGGCGCCAACCCTTACTTCTCTCCTCCTGAGGTCCAATCTATCGCGGAACGAGGTTGTCCACCACAAAGAGATACCCCTCGTTTCACGGTCAGCGCAAGAGTCGCTGATGACACAGTCTCCCAGACGCAGAAAGTATTGGTTACTGCCGAACATTCCTTCGAATTTTCGAAGAGCACTTACTTTCGAGAAGTCGTCACCTTCGTTGAGTCCGACCGGATCGAGGATCGGAATCTGCTGGCCCATTGTCACCAAACGAGACTCCAGTTGGACGATTAATTCAGGAAGGGAGAAGAAATACACGCTTTCGACGTGTTTCGTTTCGCTATAATCGGCACATGACAGCATTTCCGGGGAGAACGGAACAATTCCACCAATCTCCTGGGAACCGGACATGTTGGCCGCACAAGATCATGCCCGGTCATATCGCGTCTCTAATTATATATGTATGTACATGCATCGATGATCCGAGAGGGATCGGGGAGAGAGTGAGAAAGCGGTACTCTGGAAGTGCGAGAGAAACCCAGATAGCGGATCTATAATATTCGTTCAGCGAGCTTATTGTCCTCCCTCGGCCATCGATATCTCCGAACCGAGCAGGCCCTCAGGTTGTCTGAGTATTCGCTCATCGCTCCTGCCTGACCGCGGGATTCCGATCCGCTCCTCAGATCACGTGACAATCCCTCATTACCGCGGCCTGTCGCCGACAAGCTCGCGTGGCTCGTCGGAAATTTCCGGGGAACACCCCTGTTCTAGACAATCGAATTGAGCGTTTAATCCGAGATCTCGCATCTCAATTGAGGCAAAGGCTCGCGTATCGTCCGACTTCCCCGGGATACTTTTCCCGTGACTTGGTAGGCGGGGCAGTTCGAATTCTGACCCCAGATTCCGAACCCAAAGATCGTCATGTTATCAGCGTTCTCCATCGCCTGCCTGATCTTCCGCCCCTCCTCTTCCTCTCGGGATGATAAGGTCGGAATAAATAGGGTGTCGGACCAGTTCTCAGGATGCGACCGATGAGACGATTCTTACCTTTCAGGATGGGAAGACCGACGTGGTCGCAAATGACTCGGGCGAGCGTACCACACCCGCCGTGGTAAACTTCTCCCAAAATGAAATCGTGAGTAGGACGCCTCCAAGGCGCCCCTCGGAACTTTCCATCATAATTCCTTTGATTGCCTCATCAGTTGAGATCGAATAGCATACCAGCATAGCCGCGGGATATTCGAGAGGAGTTCGGTGAGATCATGCCCATGTGATCTGTCACTGCGATTCCGAGCCCTCGCGCTGCCGTTCCGCTCGTAGACAGAGGGCTCAATCGCAGAGCGGCTCACGAATACGCGATTCAGAGAATGGAATTGACATCTATTTCTATCGAATTCTCATATCTCATACATGATGCGTTTCTAACTCTTATCTGATCCGAGAAATATTGATCTATCTCACGAGTCGAACGATCCCTAGCGGGATGCCAGGAAGGCAGACCTTATCGCTACGAGATGCATCTCTTTCGGTAATCGAACGAAGAGATCACCGATTTCGTCATATATCGGATGCGCTGCTCATCATTTTGGATGTCGCTCTTGAAGTGGTGACATGAATCACTTGGGCCATCATTAGCACTCACGCTCACACATTCCTATTTGTGTTTCAAGAGAATCACATAGGTATGAACAATAGCTGAGATCCCCTGTAGGAGGATCGACTTCAACACAAATGTGTAATCCCACGTAGGAGAGAGATCAGAGGAACGACACGAAACTTAGTGGGAGGGAATTTCTTCGAAACGGAGCGTGTGTAGAAACACGGTTCGTCAGTGGACGGAGCTCGGCCAAGCCATGACGAGGATTGGAAAACGAAACCGCGACACGGTACTGCCAGGCTGCTCGAGTGAGCAGCGAGGGGTCTCCGGAAGAGCGAGAAATAATTTCCCGGCGGGAATCGCTCCGTGGAGGTTGATGTGAGAAAGCGCGAACGATCCGATCGGGAGCAAACAGAGTGAGACAGGAGGCATACATCTACGGAACACCTGTCCGCATTGCAAACCTCATTCCACCGAGAGGGATCATCCTCCGATAGACCTCAGGGGATGCCCCTCCCCTACCGCTCCGGCCGGGCGATGGCCTTAGAATAGAATGGATAAGCTCTGCGTAAAGACTGTGACGGAGTCTCCATTAGCGTCATCTGCGATTGGCGAAATTCAAACTATATCGATATCTCAATTTCGTATCCTGTTCCAGTGCGTTGGCGCGCTATCCAAGAACCGTCTCCTGCGCCAACCGCGGGCAACTATCCCTGGAGTGAAGCGCTTCCTCGGCTCGACGGACGCTTCCCTCTGGGATCTGTCCGCGCACATACCGTGTGAAGCCCACGAAGGGAGTCTCCGCTTCACTGTGACCTATGAGAAGGATGACGATGAACTTTGTGAGAGGAAGGTCACCACCGAAGAATTGATAACCTATCAATTGAAGAAACTCCACGGTGAGCCTCTTCGATGCTGGTAGGGAAGATTGCACGAGCGTCGACCTCCGAGTATCGAATATAAACCTTACCCTCTTCCGCTCAGATATCGCTCAGAATCAGCGTAATGACGACTCGTATCCCTGCGTGATATCCGTGCCTACATCGTTCTCCGAAGAACTCCGTAAAGTGGTCAAAACTTGCGCCGAAAATGCTGGTTTCGACGTCCTCCGAGTGATCAACGAACCGTCTGCCGCCGCTCTCGTGTACCTGAACCGGAAGGAGCCCACGATAGAGTCTCCGTGAGTACGGGTGAATTTATTACTCTCGGCGGGGTTCTGGGCCGCCGGATGTCCTCACTTGATCAGTCTTCCAACCCGTTAATGAGAGTCAGGAATTTCGAAAGCGAGTGTTGCGTTCAAATCAAAAGCTCTCGTTGGCCGCGACGGCTCATATCTAGCCCTTACTGTGAGAGCCCCGAGGAATATTCCTCTCGAATCGATGAGATTGTGTGTTGGGACTTTCCGGCGGTTCCGCGATAGATTGGAGAACCGTTGCGAAAAATATTGCGAATTGCGCGCGGCGCAGAGCCATGGTGGGTGTTCCCCACAGAGACTCAAACGTAATCGGAAACCGATAATAAAAATATCCGCCGGGATCCTCCCGCCGAGAGGATCGCAGCTGGTGGCGAGTCGCGGGCCGAGCCGCAATACGGGAATTTATGCTGCGTGACTGATTCATGTGATAATGAGCAAGAGTCGATCTAAAAGAAAGCCGGGTGGCAGCCAGGACTCCAATCTCGCCGCCATGCTGAACGGTATATCCTCAATGATCCGTTTCTCGCGGCGTCTGGATTTCTTATCACGTGGAACAACACCTTATCTACGACGGAGCGCATGGTTCTCATTCTCGCCTGCTTGCGTCCCCGCCGGAAACAAAGTAGAGCTCTCCGTCGAAAAAGATTCAAACAGCGTGCACGGGGTAAAGAAGGATGGAAACCTACGTCTAGCTCCCCGATTGGAGCTCGCGAGCCACTTACAGAAGTCGAGTACGAGAGGAACATGAGCTTTATATCTGCGGAGTTGCTTGCCTTACGTTTCGTCGTCTGCGTACAGCGAAGATTGTCCCGCTCGATTTTCTTCGATTCAGCTTGGCCGAGAGTTGCCCCTCTTGCCGGCTACCTATCGAACAGCCTGTCGTGGCCTTCGAATTCTCTCGACTCGCTTCATCTTACCAGATGGGGTCTCTCTGGAATGAAGTTCTACTCGGCATTCGCATTTTGATCAACTCCTACTTATCCACTGATCAAGCGTAAGCTTGAGCGCTCCCTCTCTATCTCTTTCTGACTTCTCATCACACATGCGGCCTTCGAGCCGATGTGCTGAGTGAGTAAAATGAAACTGAGCGAAGTCATTCTCCTCTCAAGGGTAAAACATGTTATTCCTTCTTGAGATAGAACTATGTTCTTAAGCTGAAGGCGGTGTCCGAATTTGGCAGTATGTGGGAAACGCGCCTGGAAGATCAAGCATGCTCCCGGAACACTTATGCCGGCCTGATTCCTCCTTCCAGACATATTCTAGTGTACCGTCTCGGAGGAGAATCGAGTGACGTCACAATACTGAAATACAATGGCGGTATACAGCAGATTATTTGCTCAGAGAGGATGATTTCGACCGGAGGACAACAGTGGACTGTCGAATGCGCAAAGTACGCCGCGGAGGAATTCAAGAGGTAAGACCCCGGTCTGAGATCACTGGAGGGCATACAGGGTCGGAATATCTACTCACTCACGCCGGGAGCCTCCATCTAAATTTTTCGCCCTGCAGAGAGAAATCGGCGAGTAGTTCACTGGTCGGGATTATTCAACGGGACACGTTTACAGTCAGTAGCTTACGGGTAATTCCCTAAGGCACGTTTATATTTCCACAGGAAGACCAAGGTTTCGTGGGATGAACTGTCACAGCGTTCAAAGGGCAAAGTTCTGGCGGCAGCGGAAGAGGCGAAACACGTACTCTCGACCATGGAGAGCTGTGTCTGCAGTGCCGAAAGTATACACGAAGGCTTGGACATGAACGTGCAGTTGACGAGAGCGCGTTTCGAGAAGTCCGCGCAGAACCATCTGCTCCGAGCGAAACAGAATATATTGGACGTCCTAGGGACCGCGCAAATCACACGGGATCAAGTGAACATGGTATGTGCGCGACGATTCCCGCTTGCCTTGGGCTTAGTCGTCCTCGAGAGATCGCCGTTTCGAGATTATCTCTGAAAGAAGCGAGAACATACGCGGTCGGATTGAACGTTCACTCAACCTGTCCACCGACCGGTCATGGGAGGTCGGTGAGCTCCGAGCCGACCGAAGCTCTTCTCCTAGATGTCCAACAATCATTTTTCCATCGCGACTGGATCCAGGTCCTTCGTGCCACCGAGATTCACTGAAATGGAATCGTGTACTTTCGCGGCTCTGACTACGCTGAGCGACGTTGCGGTCATTTAAACGTCTCGAAGGAAGCCTGGCACCCAAACTTATAACTGAGTCACGGGCTGAATCAACTTATAAAAGGATTGAACCGAAGCGGTGGGAGACTTTCCCTCCGAACGAGCTTCGCATGCACCTTCCTTGTGGGAACAGCGCTCCTGAAAATACTCATCAGTACATATTCCCAAGTTTCCAAAGCGTCGAGATGCTGCTTCTCAGCGCGGCGGAGCCGTCTGGAGACTATCGTTACCCGCTCGCCGCATGTCGGGACGACGGTCTCGTCGATGGAGAACTAATTCACGATCGACGCATTTCAGGTGGTTCTAAGCGGTGGGGGTTGTCGGATGGTATCCATACAGAACATGATTGCGTCGGAGTTCCCATCTGCTGAGATTTGCAAACGAATCGCTCCCGATGAGGCCGTCGCCGTCGGCTCGGCCATCGAAGCTGATATCCTCTACTCAAGACAAGTGGCTTGCGATGAGAAGCACCTCAAACGAGCGATCAAACTGCCCACCTTGTCGAAGAATATTGACATTCAAGTAAGAGAACAGTCGCCCGAGATTACGAAACTTACCGGGAAGAAATCTCGGAATTAGGCAGCGGGAACTTGAAAATGTTCCCGACCGTTTCTTGGGCTGAATCCATTTGGCATCGCGAGTCGCCTTCGAGCCCCTCTGATGTTTCTCTATTCGTGCGATGCTAAACTTTCGCGAGAGTGCTTGACCTCTTCGCTTCCGCTGCTGCGGTCTTTTCGAATCCTCCCTCTGCTCATGCCCTGGGAGCTCCTTGCCAGTTTCAGCACTACACGAGTTCCACTCATGATTGGGAAACTAAATAGGCGGTAATTTTTCCGATATGATTCGTTGGAGCGTTCCTGACTCCTATGTCAGGCCAGAAGCTCGGAGGTCATCATGTTGATGCCGGACACTATGAATGACTAGTATGCAGAACCTCCCGGATGGAGAAACTTGCGCGAACGAGATATCGAGTGCACGAAGCTCGCCCCCCGGAAAATTCCATATGCGGGCCGCTCGCCGGAGTCATGATTTGACATTTGGTAGGACCTCGTTATGAAGGACCCGGATATAACGGACACCCGCTTATAGGGGACTGAGGGCGCCATCCCTGATCGCAATACCTCCCATGTTAATCTGTTCGGATACAACGGACACCCGCTTATAAAGAGTCCGTTATCACGAGGTTCTACTGTATATTCTTCTATGACACCGAATTATCATGAATTATTCTCTGCGAAACAGGTCTCGCTATACGCGGGACAGTCCAATAGTCGATTGGCTATCTGGGAAAAAATGAAAATCTTTCCCTTTCCTCCACGGAGAGTTCCCGATTCTCTCGAGGAGCGTCTCGCTGTGATGAAGCTCCAACTATCCCTCCGCCGGAATCCGACATACATGAGTCATTCGGGCTCCGGGAAGCATCAGGACGGGGAACCTGCGATTAATTCCGGTCGCATGGGCTCGATTGTATACGACATATCCCTGATTCTCGCGACCGATGCGTCTCGGATGTTTTTCGATAGACTCCGTGCTGGCCACGCGACTTGATAAACCCTGAAGAAGAATGGATCGATGGCGAATCCAGGCATGGCTATTTTTCGTCCCGATTTTAAATAATTGTTCGGTTGACTGTTTCGACAAACTTCCGTGGCCGGTGATTTTTCATCAAAAATCAACGGAAATGGTGAATGCAGCTGCGTAGATGATGATTTTCTCCGGGAGACGGACGGATGGGAGTTCAGAAAGACTGAATGTGGAAAGGGCATTCTACTGCATGACTTCGAATCTGCGCCAAAAGATGTCGTGTAGTTCCAATCCAACGACTATAGGAGAAGTCCCGTCTCGGTGACGTGCTTCCGTTCATCGGGTTAGACGCTGGGATATGCGGAGATTCTCAGCAGAAAAAGTGGCCACAGCGGGGATGAGAGGGACCGCTACCTCACGTAATCTCTCGAGCTTACAGCATTCCATCTCGAATTTCCAGCTGCACGGCCGTCGCTTGTGGACTCGCTCAACGTTTCGGTAATCCATTGCTGTCAACATCGAGCGAGCTGTATACTGGGCAACTTCGTTCCCGGGCGTTCATGCCATGATTGTATGACGCGGTCGGATTTGCCCAACCTTCGAGATTAGATTGAGGATCTCAGAGCAGTTGCGCATTCATTGAATACACCTCGTCGTCGGTCGCTCGGGATTTACGATAGGCGGCTGAATTGATGCCCCGCAGCCTCATTCGGCGTCGCTTTCGTCAAGTTTCGTCAACTCCTATCCTTCCTTTCGACGCTAAGCCTGAGCTTGTTTCGGGCCTCAGTCGGACGATAGTCAGGGTTCGTTCCTCTCTCCGGCCTCTCAGAGAAGTCTCGATGCTACCGCTCCTCGAATTTTCGATTTCATCTAATCGGCGCCGCGCGTCCGGTCGGGAGCGCGAGCAAAACTAACCAAGGACCGGAGATCTTGTCCGGTCACTTCAGAATGGTGGGGATTGCTCCGAGATCACAATCAATGAGGATCTCGAACACCGGTCCGGGGTGTTTCATGAAAGCTGTGAGGGGAAACTGGTAGGGGAGACGTGTCTCAAACCTTTTAGAAAACGCGCGTCATGTGGAACAAGTTTCATGTCCTGTGAACTTCCGAAGAACTTGAGAGTTCTAATCAACTTTTCCATCTAGAGCGAAAGCAGACCTAGTCTCCGGTTACCCAGAGGTTTTTTCCAGCGGTCAGCTTCGGGTGACACAAGATTGTACTTTGAGTTTTGAGCCGGTTTCTGTTTCAGCTAAGAGATGGCTCCGCGGAAACCATACTCGCGAAAGGCACCGCTACGCCGTGCAAGTTCGAAGGGCCCATCCTACTAGGCGATGACGAAGCATCAGTGAAGATTCTGCTGCTACAAGAAGGTCTACCTCTGGCGAAGGTCGTCATGGCGGATCTGAACGACAACAGCGACCTGACGCTTTCTGTCGAGGTGAGTTCGTGGATGAATTTCTACCTGGGACGCTGGCCCTTCATGCTTTTCGGTGACTCGAACGGTACCCGGTACCCGACTCGATCCCGCCGCATTGCGAACGTCCGTATCGAACTGCGTCATGACGCAGTTCGAAATTGTTCTGTTCCCCGTTGATACCCGACTCGTTGCAGGTCCTCGAGGACTGTACGCTTCGCTGCCAATGCGTCGACAAAACGACGAATCGGATCGAGAGCATTATCGTCGAATAACTCCTAACGATGATGAAGAATAAATGCATCATTCATTTTCGACCTCCGCACGCGGAGTCTGATGGGTATCTGCCGCAAATAAATTGATGATCGTTTGGAGTACGTTCTGCATAATCATTAGGATCTGTGCGAAGATGCAAGACAATTGGAGCTCTGCGGATGCCTCCGACCCAGGAGCCTGGAATTTATTTGCATCCCTCCGAACAAATGCCTGCGGAATCCCGACGGAACCATTTTCGATGTGGGTCCGCGTCTCCGAACGGCTCACCCAATGGCGAGATTCAGATTCTCCTGCAGATTGTCCGCTCTTCACATGGATGGAAGTTTCTCTTTGGGGGACTAATTATTGTGATCGAATCATAACGGGAGGGCTTGTCAGGGTTGTCAACGATTGATCGGGTATATTCGAGTACAGGGTGAATCGAATAGTGTCGGAGCTGACTACCTGTGATCAGATCCAGAGAAGGTCGGATAGCATGCCCCTCAACGAGACATGACGTCCTGAGATCTTCTGTTCCAGCGCTTTTTGCCCGTTCGGAGAGGAAGTCCCCTTATGATGATTGCTCCGAACAGAAAAGGTAGAATTAACTCGTCACGGGAGGACTGATCGTTAGTTACGGTCGAGGCGATGGCGATGAGAGATACGCGAGCAGCGTGAGAAATCCATAAATTCAGACACTATGCCGCCCACCGTAGCTTGCGATGACCATTGCGGAAGCTCCGAAGGATTCGTGCGAACTTGATAATCGAGGCCTAATCGGAACCTCCCGGGAGATGTCACCGCGGCCTGTGAGCTCAATATTTTCCACTCGGTGGATGAAGCATCGCTGGAGCGTGAGTGCTCGCTCCGGAGACGAGATCGACAGCGTTTCGGCCGCCGCTCGGTGTTCAGTTAAACCCCGTTGCAACGAAACCCGGTACAGCGAAACGTCGCTGTGACGAATCTTTCTCTGCAGCCTCTCCGGCAAGATCCCCATAGAGGAAGAGCTGAAGATCACTCCTCGCTGCGAAATTTCAGTTCAAGGAGCGAAATTCCGGGTCCCCGAGCGGCTCGTTGTAGCGGAGTTTCATCGGATGGAGTTCTCCATGTAGTCCTCGACTGGAAACGCTCAAGAATTCAGGCTCGGCCATGCGGAAATACATGTCATGACAGAATGAAACTCATGCGGGAGGAAAGCGATTTCCGCGAGCACGCAATCGCGAGCGCTGCTTCACATGGCGTGCATGCATGGCACGTTGCGTTGCTGGGCTTTGCTTGTCGAGAAATGAGGCCAGTGAGCAAGAGGTGATTGTCGTCTTAATTGTCCGTCTTATTATCAGGTCGCGACGAAAACTCCTGGCTCCCCGGGGAGTCCGAGTATTGCTCGAGTTCGACCGTCCGTTCTTCGCTTGCTCGCCTGCCTGCCTAGAGCAGCACTTGCCAAGCCATTCTCATGCACGAAGAACATTACCTCGAATGCTACCCGTGTCGATTAGCTCTCGGCCCTCACCCGCTTCTGCGCCTCCGCGCCGGACCGGAGGAGGGAACTAGAATAAAACGTTCGAGCGGGAACTTGCAGAGGAAATTCCACTCAGAGCTAGGAACGACGCGCGAGAACTTCTACGCAGGACAGCAGCTAGACGTTCAGTCTCGCAATGATGCAAACCATTGCACTCGTTCTCTTGATTGCTCTCGCGGGAACTTCAGCGTCCCCCGCACCCCGCAGCGACGAAGCCCTTCAATACTACTACTTCATGCACCCCCCAAGGTTTGTTTCTGCGCCTTACTCAGACGAAATCCGAATCGTTTTTCACTTGGAAACAAGTGAATTAGAGTCGGGACTACCGGAAAATCCGCTGGCTTCCTTCTGTCGACGAAATCTATCAATTGTCAAAGGTTGAGATCTGCTCGTTGTTTCCTTGGCGGGAGCTCACGGCATTACGAATTCCGGGATTTCTGATACTTCAGCACGATTCGAGATTTCTCGTGATGTCAGACTTCCCTCCTGCTCCGAATCGTTCCGTTCATTTTCGCCAAGCAGAGAGCGGATGAGAAGTGCTCTCTCTTCTTTCGGTCTAGTCGATCGATCTCTCTATCCGATACCATGCCCACCCCAATCTCTCCCGAGAATGCTTGTGCCGTGAACGAACAATACCCGCCGTTTGCCCTTCGTGCGGGGTTGGATATGGGGATCATAGACCTCGAGTGTTATGGAAGCTGACCGTGACGTTCTTCCCCGCAGCATGGAGTACATGTTGGGAGATAAGCGCTCGAATGGAATGATCGATTTCGGATTGGCGCGCGGGATGTCAGGAGTCGATGCGGCCAAAGCTCGACTCGGTCTGAAGTACGCAAACGATCCCTTCGGTCCGGGTAGAAGGTAGAGTAGTCAGCACGTGGATCTTTCTGGGCTGTCCAGAGCGGATTCGTTCAGCAACTGGAGCCTCCCGGAAGAAATTTATGGAACCGAACAACCCAACATTAGCTGGTGACTGGTGGACTTCAGAGGAGCTCAAAGACCAACGACAACAGCATCGGAGCAGCGGCAATACGAGTTTTGTGAAATTCCGATTCTCCTTCGATCCATGCTTCAACGCCATCCCTCTTCGAGGGCTGATTCGAATTCCCGATCCGTTGAGTCGATTTCATCGATAGTAAACTAGTCTAAAAGGCAGATAGACAGTCAAATAGTCAAGTATAAAGTCGGGTCAGCATATCAATTGAATGGCCAGGTGAAATCTTCGAACGTCTCGATAGCGATGTAGGTGGAAACCCTCAGTGCGCTTGACTCGCTTGTCACTCATCAGGCTGTCGAGATCGCTTAGGATGAGGCGGACGAGCCTGTCAGGAAATAAACAGAACGTCGTTTGCACCTAGTCAAGTCTTCGCATTTATTGCTCGAAGGAATATGATCCGCTTCCGATACACCGTGTCCTTGGAGAGCACTCAGTCGGCATGCGCAGCGAAAAAACCTCTTGAGAACGGTGTGATTCGGGAACAGGCTGAACCGAATGCACTACGTGAGGTGAGTGCCGAGCAAGACATGAGGCTTGTTAAACGAGCAGATGCACCGGGGACACTCGTTATGGGTCAATCAATGTCATTCCGGACATCTTCTCGGATACACAACGACAAAACGAAGCAAACGAGTAAGCTTCGCAATCTCGCCTTGATTGAGCCGCTCCCAGAACACGTCCCGCTGAAGCGTTCGCGAGCGGGACTTTCGCAAGGAATTGCAGGACATGTTGGAAATGGGTGGAGAGCTCCTGCCAGAAAACATTCGGATCGCTTCGCGTGGTGGCGCGTCCCCCCATTTGAACAAACATCGCCGAAATTCGTCGGGAGAGGAACTGTGGGCTATTCCCTATCACGAGCAATGGGGTTCACAGATATAACGGGCTATGGAATGTAGTACGAATGTGGAAACGCGGGCATGCGATTAGCCGGTCTCCGGTACCCCGTGTGAATCTCAAAGACCTTGTAGGCGCGGGATGTCGACGCGGAATCAAAGTCTCGGCCGTATTCGCACTACATCCAATCCCACCCGTCTATTAGACAAATCGGGGCGAAAACTTCCAATGCAGGCTCGATCCTCGCTCGAAGAGCACATATCATCCTCAATCATTCTCTCGAATCGAATGGCCATGATCACGAGAGTTTCCGTTTCTCAGCCTGCGTCCCGCAGGCAGGAGTCCAATGCAGAAGGTACATTCGCATCAGCAGGATTTTGGCGGCGGCGGAACATCGACGACAATCATTCAGGACGGGAGCGTCTGGCTCAAGGAAGAGGAGAACGTGACCGAATTGAGTTGTCCGAATAGTCTCCGGAGCAAACCACTCAAACTCCCGAACCTCTCATGAATAACTAAGCCCGGCTCCAATTACAGCGCCTCTAGAAACATCTCTCTCAGCAGCAGATAGGTGACCCGTCGCTATAGCATCCAATCAAGCAGGCAGACCAGGTCCTCTCTACTCAGGTCGGTGCCCGCTCGCCGTTCGGTGATAATTCGAATGGTACACAATGGTTCAGACTTAAATCCTGGACGAGGGGAGAGAGCACATAGGGGTTTCTCGAAGTGTTCATGAGATCCATCAGGTATCTCGTGCCCGGAATCCAATGAACAGATTGCAGAGTCGACGTATTTGGAGTGGATTGAGAGCCTCCAAGATGCGTCCATGCAATTTATAGTTGTGGTCAACTGTGCGAAAGCCATGCATGATATTTCCATCAACCCTCCAATCAATGGACACGATACCCATAGCGTGGGGGGGTGTATTCAGAGTCTGGAATCTATCCGAGGGTGAGTTCTGACGAACCGTTGGAGGAATACGAATTGAGTTTTCGACATCGCTTTCGGTGACACCTGAATCTGCGAAATTCCGCGAAGCGACTCTCTTGGTCTGTTGTGTTCCGAGAACCCAGCCTCCTAATGGATTACTATCGAGACCGGAGTACTCGTGGACGTCAGCAGACGTTGTTCAACGAAGACTCTCTTGTCAGGATCATCCCTTGTTTTTATTGTACTCCATAATCTTGAGTTCTGAATTTCAGTCAACTAGTCCTATATACAATGTTTTGTGGTCCTCTTCTTCCTTTGCAGATCACCTCTATCCGATTCGTCTCGCGTAGAAAGTGCTTGCCAACGTAGTGCTCGTCTTATCTTTCAATCTCGTCTCAGCTTTGTGGAGCTAGACTTCCACACGTGAAGAAAGTAGGAGGAAAAAAATAAGTCTTATCACCTGAAACAGAGGGTACTCCCCGTAAGGTCAGTTTGAAAGACAGGGAGCACGAAGCTGCCTCCCGATGGCGTTCTGAGGAAATCGTCGTCGGGAATGGAACTCACTTCAAAATTGACTTCTTCCCTCGGCAACTCTATTGATGTTGCTTAATGGCTTCTTTCGCTGCGACGATCAAAGGGTGTAAGCTATGGAGGGGTCGAGCCAGCTTCAAGAAAGGATGTTGGAGCATCTGAGACGCCGAAGGTCTGGCCGACGCATCGACGGTCAAGCTCGCGTCGAGGAACCCTTGTAGCAGTGGACTGAGTTTGTCGCGATCCTTGATAACCGGTCGTCCCGTGGTGGCGATAAGGTATAGCGCCCGTAGGGGGTTTTCATTCAAATACGGAGGTTCTCCCTCGATCATCTCAATTGCCATTATGCCGAGCGACCAAATGTCGACCTGAAAACGTCCCACGAAAGCAGTCAGACATCTGACCCCGGCCTCAGCTACCGTCATATAATAGAATAACTGAATACCAGCGAGGAACCATCAGGATAGATTACCTTAGGCCCGTATTGCTTCCGGGTTACGATCTCTGGACTCATCCAATAAGGGGTTCCAACCATGGTGCTCCGTTTGTGAGCCTCCGAAGCACCTCCTAATTGAGCGCAGAAGCCGAAATCTGTGAGTTTGACGCTTCCGTCCATACCTAATAGGACGTTGTCACTCTTTATATCTCGGTGGATGATGCGTTTCGAATGGAGAAACTCGAGAGCGAGCAACACCTGTAATGAGTCATCGATACTTGAAGTTTTCCTCGTGACCCAAAGCACGGCAACTGCCCAACACGATCGGCGTCGAGCAAGCGAGGCGCCCGCGACGGACCCCTCCCTTTGTTGATGGATTCTCGCTTCTGTAAGGATCCGCTCGATTCATCTGCTGCCCGAGATCCACCGGGAACGATTCGGTGTGAGTTTCTACAGCGAGCGAGGGTGATCGCTGGGAAGACGTCAACGTTTCTCACCTGTTGCAGTACAGCTGCGATCTGGCCTTCTTCTAGCAGAGTCTCGGTGACAACATCAGTCAGGGAGCCCCCGGCGAGATATTCCATGCAGACCCACAACTCCATTGAAGTGACTGAAGGACCGGTCTGGACGAGGTACGAATCCAAGTAATTCACTATATTCGGATGTCGTATCGCTTTCATCACCTGCGGATCAAGGATCATTCTGTCAAGAATCTTGACTCAAGATTCGTAGATTTTGACGATATCCCTTCCATCGTTTCAAGAGAACCGCGACGATATGCGAGAATCGCCAACAGCAACATATTTGTTCGGAATTTCGTACGACGAGCACCGACTGAGGGAGTATGATCCCAAGAGTCAGGGCCCGCTGAAGTTTCTCCCAAAAACGACACCTAGCGTCGTCCATCTTACCCGGACCGTAAACTGAAACCGGGCCTCGAATGACAGGCTGCCGCCGATAAGCCTGGATAATGAGTCATTAGACCAGACTTCTCTGCTCAATTCGGACCCGTCGATCTCTCGCAAGCAATAATGATTAATATTGCGGATCGATGAAGTCCGCCGAGGATGACGGATAACGCGCAGTATCTCTCGATGCCTAGGCCGGGCGGCAGGAGTCACGACCCTGGAGGGATCGAACGAACAACTACGAACCTGAATTTCGTTGATGATGAGTTCTCTCTTGGGCTGTTGCGCTAGAACCATCTGCTTGATGGCAACTTCCGAACCAGTCGCCGTTTCGATTGCAGTATAAACAACACCGGATGCTCCTTGCCCGATTTTTTGGAGTCTCGTGTACTTGGAGTGCGGATCCCCGACGGAAATTATTCCTTTCAACAATTCAATAACTTGCTCCTCGGACATTTTCTTCTTTTGGTTCGAGCGCGTCCTGACCTGAGCGTTGTTGTCCTGTTTTTCTTGACACGACGTCGTCACGGGTTTTTGATCGTGCTGCGCTTCGGGCGTTTCTTCGGGTGTGGTGTCAGCCACCCGACTCTGATCGTTGTTGTTCGCAAAATCGATATTGTCCTGGCCGGGTACATTCCGGTTGCGTTCCTCTTCTTTAGAAAGGAATATGTCCGAGACCGGACGAGTATACAATGACTTTGTTCGCTCTGGGCGTGGGGGCGGTGAGGGTGCTTTTGGTCTGGCAGCTACACCCATCGGTGTACCCGCAGCTGAAGCTTCGGAGCTCAGTGAGCGTTCCTCGGATGCTACCGAGGTTCGACTGCCACAGGACACGTGACGAGAGTGTCCGCTTTCGCTCGGTGTCGACACTTTATCGCCGGAAGCAACGCTCTCTTCAGACGTGGTCGATAGAGGATAACCGCCACCTTGCATGAGGTATTTGGGTTTCGTCTCGATGAGACCCTGTCCCCCATCCTTGTTGTTGTAGAAATTCAACGCATCAATAACAGCCTGGGGATTGTTCTCCTGCTCCTGTTTCGAAATGTTGGACGTCTGCAGAAGCTTGAACCACGCGGGTGGAAGTCCTGGAAAGCAAGGGGAGTCCGTGATAAAATCGACTGCGAAACCTACCACCACGAATCGAGGCAGGCCAGGCCAAGCTTCCTGCACTCAAATTGCCAAGAACTTACCCGTGAATTCTCCGGTATGAGGATCGAAGCCCACGTGCATTGTGTGAGCGAAGTTTGTTGGCTTGGAGATTGTTATAGGTGAAGGCTCAATATTTCTGTGCTTTTTCGAGGGCTCTGGTGGTAAAGGTCTCAATTCGAGAGGCAGAGACGAGGCTGGATTCCTCGCCTGCGCCGACGTCAGCCTGACCGGCGGGGGTGGCGGTTTTTCGTCTGACATATTTGTGCTGTCCAGATCTGCGGAATATATGAATAATTCGATGATTCTCTCAATGATATTCCAACTGTGGCAATGGACCCATTGTCAAGCGGAACATGCAAGCCAAACACCGAGCAACACCTCCTCAAACTGAGCTCGGCGCTCCTGTTCCGACGATCCATGAAGGTAAGGTACTCGATGGTATACCAGCTTGTACATAAATGAGACATCAGCCGGGGACGGTTCTTGACCTCGGCGACACAACGCGGTGCGCGACTTTCTGTTTCCGAGACAAGAGCGACGATCACATGCATGTTCCTCATGGATTTATAACGGAACCGGGAGGCTCTGTTAGTGCTGACTTCGATTTGATTTCATGTTCTGGAAGGCTCAGTCGCTCATTAAACGGTCGGAAGGATATCGACTCTCAGTCGGAGGAGACTGTGGCCAATCTCTTCGAATGGGAGCCATCCTTTGCAAGAATGAAGAATGATCAGCGAAGCGACTGATCCGAACATAAAATAGGGCTTGGGCACCTCTATTCTAGAGCACCTCGGTGAAAAAGGTCCAGAGCACATCGAGAAAGACGGTTCACATGCCTCGAGAGTACGACCGTGGTCAATAAATCGGCTCGTATGAAGGATTAGGGAGAAATCGGAGTGTAGACGTCATCGGTGAAAGCGCTCAAGATTGGCAATGACGCAGTCGGTTATTCATGGAATGGAGGAGTACCACCAACTATGACTAACAGCGCTGCTCTCGGAACGAAGAGAGCGCTTCCAGCGGTTTCCTCCCTTTCTCTGAGCGGACTCATTGGATTCCGAGCTGGATGGAGTTCATTTCCAGAGTCAGATTCAAAATCCGAGATCCGATTCAATGTTCCCAATACACACCCGAATCACAAAGCCGTCAATCAACTTCTCTCAGAAAGGCCCGATCAGGGGCATACGAGTCCGGGAAACTATGATAAGAAGAGGCGATATGTCCTTATTCTCTCTCAGACTTCCGTTCTGAGCGAACCACGTCAACTGAGACGAGCTGTGTGGTGTAGATCTCTGAGCTCCCGCAGGCCGACACATTCGTCATTTGTATATCCGAGTCTACCGCTCGAAAGCTTCCCGAGACGAAGCTCCGGTTCATCAGACCATAAAGTAGATCGATTCGCGCTAGGAATTAAGCCTCATACCGTACCATACCACAGAACACAACGAGCAGACGTCAGTATGCATCCGCTCTAAGCTCATTATCCAGCCTCTGGCCATCTGCGCTCGATGACGGATTCCCGAATCTCTCATAGTAGCTCCGATACTACCGTGTTGCATTGTGCACTGACTGAGACATAGGGTTGGAGTTTGTTTACCTTCCACGGACTCAAACCTCGTTCAACCAGGGCGTGATGGGAGGCTGGAGCATGAATGCAACTCAAGAAAATCATTGCGCAGCACTCATCACTATTGTGGGTGGTTTGCCACCCACTCAGGCCATCCAGAACACACTGTTCCTTGCGAGAAGAGGAAACAAATCGCTCGCACACACTAACTCACCGTGGGGCCAATCGGGGAAACTCCGTAAGCTTGGTTCACTAGCTTGGTAGGCTACGTCACATGGCTGCTGCTAATCCTCCGAAGTTTTCCGCAGTCTTCGGTGTCTACCAATGTAAAATTTGCAACACAAAATATGTCACTTTCGGTGCGCTCTCACAAGAGTGATGATTATAATCGTTCCTGGGAGGAGATGATGACATGATCTCTACTGCTGTAAACAGAACCCTCTCTCCCGAAGGCGGGTGGCGGCATTGCTCAAGATTCTCTTCTGCAGGGAGACGCCAGAGAGATTCTCGAATGCACATCTCCCTATCGTGAGAAGTCTACGAATTACGATATACTGAAGAACCTCCTCGTAACGGACTTGGATGGACCGGCCGAAACGGTCCGTCATATCCGGAGCCCGTTCTATCCGAAGATGGGTTCAGAATCTATATGGAACGTGGACGTCATCGAGAACATCGCAGTAGCCTCGCTTACAATTAGACGAGCGGGAGCATGTGGGAAACCATGTGAATCGTCCGATAGGCTATCGCTTCTAAACCTCCATTGGCAAGAATTGGTCCGTCACAACCGATTCGACTAGCATGGGGGTAGGTAGTAGGACCGGGGCCAGGGAATCAGTCTGCTCGACCCGACAGTCATTATTATTGGGTCCGCTCCAACCGAGTTTCTCAAAATCGAAGATCCCAACGCCTCGTCCGAGCAACCGGTCTCTTGCTACCGAGTGCCCATCATATCTGGATCCGTCATAACCCTACAGTTCTTTAGCATCCGGGGACGCCTCCATCAGTATACGGGGCCGGTGCCCTCAATAATATAAGCAGTCCTTCTGAACTCGAGCCCTGACGGTGATCCTCTCTTCGCGAAACCCCGATAGGTCGCAGAGTTGGATCAGGACGATCGGCACCCGGAAATTGGGAGGTCTGTTCCCAAATCCATGATCAGAATACCGTGGACGGGGAAGATCTTGGTGACTAGGGAAATCGGCGATGATCTAAGCACGGGGGGACGTCCGGCGATCCTGATCCCCGGTTCCTCACTATTTTTCATCTGCGTTCCGTGAGTTCTCCGAGGAAATTGCGGACATCGAGCTGACGCTCTGGACGATATCATTGATATCGTTCAGAGTCGACTATGAAGAGCATCTTGTGCTCTACCGGCATAGAGCGGCCGAGAAGTCGTCCCCATCAAAGAAGTTCTCGCTCGCTATGCAGAGGGGCGTGTCGAGATGAGACTGGCGGCGGTTGAGGATCTCTGTGAATTCTCGATTGAGCGTATATGAGGCCCAAAACAGCATTTATTGCTTCATGGAATTCTATAGCGTCGACTCGGTCATGCTGCGAAAGGCGGGATGAAGCCTCCGAAATGATTTTCCAGTCGTTTAGCGATTGCCAGGGTCAGTCGGTCGTGCCGAGGACCGGCGACTATTTGCACCGAGAGCGGGATTCCCTTCGATGAGAGACCCATCGGTACCACGGTCGATGGCAGTTGAAGAACATTTATGAGCCCGGCAAACCCGAAATATTGCATGGGGCTACACAGGGTCTGGAAGATCGATAAAAAGGATGGAATAATTTCTCGGTCTCCCGTCTCGTGGGTCGAGGGCGGAAATCATATCCGAATCGAGATAACTCACCCCATGATGGAACGGTGCCGTTGTAATATTCGACGGCAAGATCAGGACTCCGTCTTCGTCCAGTAGATCGTGAATTCTCCGCTTGTACGATTCAAACTCCTTGTAAGCGGCCCTTACCTCACTGGGATTACTCCTCACGCGTTCGTCGCTCATGCTGAGAACAATGGCATAGATGGTGCGCTCCGAGCACCCCGCGGCATGCTTGAAAAGCTCCAGTAGAGGCTGCCAGGAAGGGTCGGACCGGAATGCTCTCTTGAGCTCACCGAATTCCTTGGTTTGGGTGTAGGCGAACCAGTATCTTCCGCCGTCCGCCAATTTCTCGGCTTCAGGCAGTGCCGTAGCCTAATCCGGATTGAAACTTGATGAGCCTAACGGATAGTTTAGGGGGAAACTCTGTTCTCCCCGGAGGATCATCTGGAGACCCCGCTCCGAGCTCGGAAGAATAGTGCCGATTGAATCCTATAACACTCTAACCTCAATTCGAAAATCTGATCGGAGATACTCGATCACTCGGTGGACTTGTTCTCGCGATTCAGGGTCTACGCAAGAAACATGAGTTGCCCCGTCGTTGTCACAGAAGAAGTATCTCAGTTCCGCGAGATTCACTTCTTCATCGAATCGAAAGTCCGTGGGGTCATCCGCGAGAACTCTCAGCATCATCACCAGATCGTCAACCGATCGAGCCATTGGGCCAAGAACACCGATCGTAGATTTCAAAGGCTGACCTTCGTGCGGGAGGAGCTTAGAGTTGAATAAGAACAAGGGTGAGTACGTGGCGATATCCTGGTCTCACCATCTAGCTCAGAGCATTGACATGGAAGGAGGCGAAATGTGGAATCTTTCTCACCCCGTGACGGGCCACGAGTCCCGGAGTGGGTTTGTGCCCGGGTATTCCACACCAGGCCGCTGGTATCCTGATGCTGCCGCCAATGTCAGATCCCACGCCCCAGACGCTGGCACATGAACTCACCATAGCGGCTTCTCCCCCGCTACTGCCGCCGCAGGATCTGTGAAATGGAGAATGCTTTGACGAGACGTCGAAGATCATCGGCGCTCGGATTGGGGATTAGGTGTAGAATTAATTGTCCCTACCGATGAAGATCGAAAGGATTATTTGTTCGTCCATGTAGATGGTTGGAAGTTTCGATCCATAGGCACATTTCGGGAACATTCGTGATCGCTATGGGAATGGCACCGGCTTCTCTCATTCGTTGAACGGTGATCGCATCTTCCTCGGCTCTGTATCCTCGACGACTTTCGTTCCCTATGTCAGCGAGGAGACCTGAAGGAAAAGCTGGACTCATCAGACCCCGAAACCGCATTCGAGTAATCGAAAGCGCGATTCGATCCTTTCCGGCTCGAGAGCGAACCTGTGACGGCGACGCAATTTTTGACAGTGAATGGTAAGCCAAGTAGAGGTTTCTCCTTGAAGAGTTGCTGGAGGTTTGCCCCTGGTGATCCAATAATCTGGTCCACCCTCCTGGCTTCTTTTAAGGCGTCTTCGAATCTCTGATCAACCACGGCATTGATGTAGGGTTCCACTTCCCTGATCCTTTCAACAATCGCAGAGAGGAGAGCTTCAGACGTTATCTGAAATTAGGTGGCGGGAATGATTCGATGCACTCCTGTCTTCCCATTCCGATTGCTCAATACGGATTGTTTCGCACGTACTTGTCCGTCACGGATCATTTGGACCAATTCAGTCGCGGGATATTGTAGGAACTTGTGCTTCAATGGTGGAAGCTTCTTCCTACCATCGCGATAGCCTTGGTGATAAATGTACTTCACACACTCATAAGTTCGTATGAGCAGAAAGCGAACAAGTTCCGCAATGAATTGAAGCCAGCTCGACCACATGTTGATCAAGCCACTAACCGTTGACGAGTGGCTATCCGCGCTGAGCGAGGCAAGCGAGCAGTCAGCGGACAAGCTACATCACTTTACGACTCTGGGCCGCGCCGCCTTGAGGGTACTGAAGAAAAATTCGAGAGTTATATTAGAACAGCCGCTCCCATTGGATGCGGGCTCTACATTATCGGCGCGGACGACAAGGACTCTCGAGTGGATGCTAATTGTCGGCTCCGCTATAATCTGCTCCTTGAAGATATCGTCGACAGCCGATGACGACGCTCGATCAGCCACTGCCCAGAGAACATGCTCAGCACGCGTATTTGTTGTAAATTCCGTTAAGGTCCTGTGGTAGCACGCGCGGCGACTCACGGACTGTTCAGAAATTTGTCGTGCCTCCACTCAGGGATGGAAAGGATCCTTATATGTACAGTGCTGACTTTGTCTGATCCACCACTAGATGGCGTCTGGAGAGGCCCGTGAGGTGGGGCGGCCGCCGCACAGACACTCCTCACGAAATCTGCTCCGGGTCTGCTGGTGGTGTCGTTGATGGTGCAGCAGCATCGCGCAAACGACTGCTCAACGTTTTTCTGCGAGCGAAACTTCCCGCTCTCAGAACAACACAGACACCCGTACGCCATCGAAGTCAACTACGCTCTCAGGTCAGGAAACTCCGAAAGGCTCCCTGTAGCCTCTGAAGGGAGCTCGATCAGGAAGCGCTGTATAAGGTGAGTGATTGCGTGGACTTGTTCTACCGTTCGATCACGGAAGACCTCTGAGTCTGCGAAATGCATGTCAACCCAATATCGAGTGGGGATAGAAACCGAGCTCCGGGTCAAATCCCATGTGCTCCAGGATCTAGGAGCGATGCCATTGGTCGATCCGGCGAGTACTTCCCTTGGAGGAGGGTATCAGCGTAACGGTCTCGGGAATCTGAAGAACGCTGAGGCGAAAAAAACAGTGGATGAGTGAATGGTGCTCCCGTTGAGCCTGAGCTGCCGAATCTCCTATTTCCTAGCTTCGCCTGCTCGGAGAAAAACCATTCGACGTGTCCTAGAATTTCTTTCGGTCAAATCTGAAGCGAAATCTTCCGTTTCTGTCAAAAGAAGACACCGTTCAACTTGCGGCACCAGAGAGAATACTTGCCGCGAGTCGTTCAAAGGACAGCGGCCCCGGAGAAATTGTTATTTCTGATGGTGCGTGGCTGCCATCCTATCGGAGCGAACTTTCGGAGTGTTCGGCTCGGAAAATCTATTTTCGTGTCGGCAGTTTCATCTTGCGAATTTAGCTCGCAAGGAATCGATGGAATGCAAAGTAGAATATCTCTCATGACCTCGGATATGTCTTCGTACGCTCATTCGAACGTCCATCACCAGGCTGATGAGCTCGACGGTAGATCGAGCTGGAAAGATATGGGCGAGGATTTTCGCACAATCGTGTTGAATTCTCACGAGATAGGCTTCGGGCTCATAGAGCCCGCATACATGCGAAAGATCCTGATATCGGTGTCACGGAATTTAGGGGGACCATTTGCCTGAATATTATATCGCTTCGATACTGGCTCGATCACGAAAGTCTGAAGATGGCTTCTTATTCAATTCGCGTCAATCGGAGTTCCGGAAACGAGTTTAATTACCTCTTGCGTCGCTCGCTTTCGTCATTGCCGACTTCACCACTAAGAGCTCGTGATTTCGTGGACGAAACGGAAGTCTGATTGGGAATGTTTGCAGCGCTCTTAGGCGTAACGGCATGCTTGGCTCTGCTAGATGAAGAAACCGATGTCGCCGTCAACGCGCGGTCGTTGTTGAATCCTCTTCGAAGTTGCGGTCATGCTGGGCGTCGTGGAGTCCTTGAAGAAGATTATTCGAATCGAGCTCATCCTTGGTTACGGCTGGACACGATGGACTGGCGCGATCCGCGAAACAGTGATCGGAGCCGACACTAAAATCCTCCAAGCTGCTGACCATAAACTCCGGAAACTCGCCGCTCCGGAGGTTGGGAGTTCGAGCTGGGAAGACATTCGGCGATGTTAGCTTGGAACCTTTTACCGTTTCCAATGACTAAACCAGCTCTCTCCGGTTGGATATCTTCTGCGACGATTATCTACACGTATTTTCAGCGGTCGATTGAGCTCCCCGAGGATGCGCGTACCTTCCATCACCGTAGGTCCCGAGCTCGGGTAGCCCACTAAGACTGCCCAAACTTCTGAACGAAGAACGCAGGAGCTCATTGTCACCTACCTCACCGCACGAACCCCATAGTAAGCCAGCCACACCCGTGTCGTAAGTCATGCGACGCCTACGGTTGCCAGGTCGTGCGTAACTCGAACACGGTTCGTTGTGTTTCAACAGATATCGGCAGGAGGAGAACAAAGGCTTCGTCGCTTTGAGACGAGTATCGTGATTTAGTTTTTCGATGGAACACTTTCTTTTGTTCCAGATGTCCCTGCACTGCGCTCGTCCGACGGAATAGAAACCTGAGGTTGGAGCATGGTCGCACTGGAGCCAGACCTCCTGCTCGTTTTGATCTCGCTCGCTGGGCTCTTCCTCATCTTCGGAATCATCGCTGCAGTTCACTACCTGTGAGTGCTTCTGTAAACGAGGACTCTCCCCTGCATCTGTAAGGGAGGATTCGAGTCGCAAACGGTCTTTCAGATGGAAAATACTTCGGAGAGACGCCCGTTGGCCAGGACTTCAGAATCCTTACGGATGGCCAGCTGAGCTCTTAGGTGACATTGACGCCAACGTTGTCGACAAGAGCGTATGTAAAAAACGATTACGGCCGAGTCGAATCGAGAAAAATGCCAAAAAATTCCACAAAGCCCTCGGAGATGTATTTCCTGAACCGTAAGTTGTTTCTGGCATGACTGTGAAATCCTTCTTGACTGTTCGACGATTTTTACCGGAATCGCGCTGACGTCTACTTTTTGCTTTTGACGAAGAGAGGCGCCTCCGGTGCCGATCAGGATGGACTCGTTAACGAAAGCCGAACGGCAAATGTTGAATCCTGTACCGAAAGTTCCTCCGAAACGATTGTCGGCGTCCAACGCCGCGGGACATGTCTCCACTTATAAATTCAAGAACGGTCGGCTTGATCGCAAGAGAGGGAGCGGTTACCGGGAAGAGCGGAAACAGAAATCTGCGACCCAGTCAACGAAGCATTCACGGAGGGAACACATAGTCGACTTGAGCGAGGTGAGATGTGTTTAAAACCGGGTCTACGAGTTTTCCGCTGATCTTGCAAGATCTTTGTGTTAAGATGACCCTTCCCCCTCGACAGGATTCGGAAGCACCTCCGCCATATAGTGAATTGCACTCTCCGTCGACACACAGAGAGACGCACCATCGCGAGAGGTTGTAAACCGCGCGAAATCAGCTCAGCCGAGTTCCCACCGCTGCAAGGAAACGTTTGTCCCTCTATCGTGCCTTGCAAAACCTGGCTTCTTCCGTGAGAAGCGCATGTCTAAACACCGAACGAATGGGAAACACATGATGATCTCTAGTCGTAGATTATTTATTCACTGCATTCTCTATTGCGAATAAATCTTTCTAGCCTCGATAAGCATCTTATTGCGAAAGAATGAACAAACATGCCGATAGCGTCCGCGCCATCCGAAAGAGACGACAAGTGATCGATAGGTTACATAGTAGTATATAGTCGACATTAGAGCATTTCTTACGTTTCCCAATCAAGTCTCGCGAATTCAGTGGAATGAATTCAACCGAACAGGTCTGAGCAGTTTTACCCTCCCGGGTACGAAACGTTCCAGCATCGTGGAAATGGCTAGCAGAATCATGAGGACGAGGACTGGTATCTCGACTGAATGAACTTTGCGCTCTCGAAGAGACCCTCTTGCTAAGCACGGGAGAATTCCCCGAAATGTCCTCGGACTAGAAGAAGGACGAATCTTCCGGGTTCTCGAAGCCTCAGAGCAGTTCTCCTGGCGGCTGACTCGTAAGTGAAGCTCGGACATTCATCGATGCTCCAGAGTGATACACTCTGAAAGATCGAGGGCGAATTTCGTTCTCCACAAATTCCCGAATTGAACTTCGGATGAACTTGAAAATATTCGGTCTTTCTCTGCCTCTGCGCTGAGGAGCTGATTTCGCCCTCTCTTCCGATGCAGGTTCATTCTACCTCTTCTGAGTGAAAGGAATCGAGAAAGCTTCACAAGAAATGCACCAGGCTCTCAAGATTCGGCATGGGGGATGTCTCAGGATTCTCACGCCCTCCTCGCTCATGACAATCCCAGCGATGGACCCGGAGATGTAGTAGTTTTCATGGATCCGTCGGGGCGCTGCTCCGCTTGCGGTCTGAGAGCATTTAAGGACGATCACGCGGGGGTCTCGCTCCGCCCGAGAATCAGAGTCAAGCTCCTGAGGGAAGAGCTGAGTGGAATATCCCTTTCTTTCCCGAAAGTTCACTTTCCATGAGAAGATTCAGACTCCTGGACATTCCGAGCTATATCCTCTATCCGCGATTCTGCATCCGGATCGTTGGATTGATTTCAATCGCTATCAATCAGTAGCTCTCGACCTGCTTTCTCGTCGATTTCTCCCCGCCGCGGAAAATCAACCAATGCCTCTTCCGAGCTCAGAGATTGACTGGGAGCTCTCTCACGCGGAGCGGGCGAAGAGAATGGTGACGACCATAGGGTGAATGGCTCCCAGGGCAGAATTCATCGGAGAAATTCGGTTTTATTTTAATTTCGGTGGGGGACAAGGTGCCCTCCATGAACGGCGCCCGAGGCTCATCACTACAGCTCGGAAATTCAGGCATTATGCCTTAAATGCCTAAATCTGCCTCTTTCGGCTTTTTTCGATGCAAAATGCCTGTTTAATTTTTTCGTGCCTAGAGTGCCTTCCTGAGCTTCTGAGAGGCCG